CACGGGGTGGAGCTGAGCCAATCGGCGGCATCCGGCCCCGACTGCGAACGGAGCATGGCCTGGGCAGGGGTGGGCAGAGCGGGTAGCAACTCGGTTTCGCGGAAGTGGGTAGAGCAAGCGCGGGAACCGTGATGCTGCCAGCCCTGAGGCTCGCCAGGCTCGTCGAGCAGATCGCATTGTGCGGGGCGCAGGTTGTTGAGCAAGTCGTTCCCAGACGGGCGGCCGGTCCAGTTGGTGCGGTCGAGCACGCGGCCGGCCTCCTCAGCACAGCGCGCAGGCACGGCAGCCGAAGCAGGGCTTCAAAGGAAAAAAGATAGGCAATGCCGCAGGCGCGGTGCGCACAGCGCACTGCAAACCCAAGCAATCCCAAGCATCTTTTACGACTGCGCAAAAAAGTCCGGTCCCCCGATGGTCCCCGTGCACGCTGCAAACTGTGGCGTCCCCGAGAATGGGGAGCTGAGAGCCAGGCATGGCCCCCCCAGCGATGTACGTCGCTCGGCAACAGGCAACACCAGCGGCGCAGCCAGCGGTAGCGGCACCGCGCAGGGCAGCAGGAGCGCGTTGGGCGCGAAGCCGCACCAGTTGCGTGACCAGGCGGTACGATTCAGAGCTCCCGAGTCCGCCGGCTTCGCACGCGAGGATGCAGAGGCGCTGGGGCCCCGGGTGCAGCAACTCGGGGCAGGCTGCGCGCTCAGCGACAACGATCATGGCACCGTCACGCGTCGCGGCGGAAGGCTGAGCGCGCCCGTCGCTTGTCATGACGTCGCAGCACAAGGCTTCTCCGAGCGGGGTAGCCCCATATGCTACCAAATCGAGGCGACGGCGATCGGCGGGATCGACGTCCGGGGCCGATTGCTGCGGGACGACCTGGCCCCCAGGTCCGACAGCCTCACGAGCAACGCGCACTCAGGCATGCTCCAGGGGCTTGGCTCTGCGGGCAAGAAGGCCTGTACGGGGGCAGGACAAGGCCACCACAGCCGTGGCCATGTTCGCCGCATTTGTGTTGGGCGACTGGCAGAGGCAGCCGCAGCCGTCGCCGCAAAGCTATGAGCATGCGGTCGGGCGGGTGACTGCGAGCGGAGAATGGCCTGGGCAGGGGCAGAGCAGATAGAGCGGGTACTAGTAGCAACTAACAACGCACTTTTTCCCAGCGTTCCAAGCGTGGCAGTCCAAGTGCAGACCCAAGTCTAGGCCGGTTGCGCGCTACGGCGTCCAGGGCATGCGGCTTGCAAGGGGCGGTTCAAGGGAAAGTCACCGAGGATGTCGCTCAGCAGCGGGGATTCGCCATCGACATTGGCAGTGCCGCCCAGGGGCAAGGAGAGGAGGCATGTAGCAAAGGCGCGGGCAGCCGCGGCAGCAAGTTTTTTCACCCTCTCGGACCGGTCTGTTGAACGGGCATGGGTGCGTGTGGCTCGGGAGGTCGTCGGCCCGGACGGACAACTGGTCCCCCCAACCGCACCCAACGTCCGCTCCGACGACCCGCACCGCCTGGACCTCGTCATCTACGGCGGGGCTCTTTGCTGCGACGCGACGCTTCGCCGCTGCCGTGCACGGGCTTGCCGCAGCCTTGTGCAGCCCAGCTGAGCATGACGGCGCAGCCCTGCGCGTCGCCGAGCGCCGCAAGCGAGCCGCAACAGCTCGTGGTGTTAGGGAGCGAGGTTGGTGGAATGCCGGCGCGCAGGCAGCAGCTGTTGCGGGATCTGGCCCGCGTCCGTGCCCAACCAGCTCCACCAGCCATGCGACGTGCATGCTGCATCGGCCAGGCGTTGGTAGGCCATATTGTCCAACAGGCCGTTGCAAACACAGCGCTTGGATGCGCTTGGGTCAGCCTCGCCCGCACCGCTCCACGCGAGCCATCGGCTTCGTTGATGGACTGGACTTCGCGGACGCAGCGGGGCCGAGCCGTTTGCCGCTTCGCGGCCAATAGGGACGCTGTAGTGTCAGCTGCGCCGCGCACAAAACATGCAGCAGGAACCCAAGCCATGCAAGTGCAATAGAGGCATTCAAAACAAAATCACCTTGATGCCGCATCGCGGCTGCTGCTGCTGCTGTCGCAAGCCGGGCCGCACGCTGCACAAGCCTTCACAGTCTTCCCCACGTTTGCAAAAGTGGTGGTGCCTTCACCGTTCTTCCGGGTGCTGCTGCTTCACCTGCCATTGCCTGTTGCGCCACGCGTCGGCTTGCGGACATGAGCATCGACGTCCCAGACTCTGACGACCACGCATTGAAGTCGTGGCGAACGAGCTTTTCATCTGGCATGGCGCAGAGCAGGCGGTCGACGCCACCGTTATAATCACCTGATAGTCACCCGGGCTGGCGACCTGGCGACCCCACCCGGGAGCAGATGTGCATCCCGGCCGGGCTGTCGATGGCACTGCCCGACACAAATTTCGCCGCCGAATGTACCATGAGCTACAGCCCGCCCGCCGCTGCCGCTTGGTGACCGTAGGCGTCGAAGTCGGCGGCCGCTTTGGGGCTGAAGCTGCAAACTGGCTCCAACTCCTCGCCAAGCACCGTGCCGCTGGCCGCTGACGTCCCTGCAGCATCGGTAGCGTTGCGGACGTAGTATGAGGTAGGCACTTCCGTTTGGGACTTTGGGCTGCCGGAAAAAGGTCCGCGAAAAAAAAAAGTATGACGTAGTGCGGTGGTCCAGCTTGCTTGCGGTTGCGGCGCGGCGTGCATTCGCAGCCTCCTTGATGGAGCTCCCGCTCGCAGGCGAGTGCGATGTCGCTGGGGATGAGCCGGAGCTGCACGAGGTTTTTGCGGACGTGCGCTCACAGCTCCATGTGCCCTCCAGCCGACAATGGCCGGGTTGAGACCTCCGCCGGCTTTCTGGCGGTACTCCTTGGGGGGGGGAATGTGCTGCGAGCCGCAAGGGCTTTTAGCGGATGAAGACGGGGCTGTGCTGGCCAGGGCTAGATCCGCCGCAAAGAGGCGACGCACCCAGAATTGGAAGATGAGCGTGGGAAGTAGCCCCCTACCATACGCGTCCATAGACCCCTATACAGACCCCTATGCCCTATGCTTTTCCCATAGACCCCTATGCGCCCTACCCCTCCCGCGGCCACAAACCCCGACAGTGTTACAAATAGACCCAATGCATTTTCCGATAGGCCCCACTGATAGACCCCTACGGGAATTCGTACACACCCCTATAGATAGGCCTTATTTCTACTTAGGCTAGCCCCCTATGCAGCACAGGCCCCCATTTTTCCATAGCCCCTTTTCCCGATCGCGATAGGGTTTATTTCTCAAGCAATAGGCCCCTATGCCTTTCCTTGTCCTGTTTGAAGCACTTTTGAGTTGTGCAGTAGCCACGACCTACTAGCTTTCGTGCGCGGTTTTCTCGCAGCTAGGAGCCTCCATCTCAAGCAGCCACTGGAGTAGCAGAGCATGCGGGAATGTGAAGGAAGTAGGGTTTGCCGAAGCAGGGTTCAGAACCCTGATATCCAAACCCTTGAACGGTTCTTCCACAAACCCTACTTCTTTGCCCTGTCTTAGCGCGGAACGAGGCCTGCGAATGATTTGGCGTGTTATGACCCTTGAACGGTTCTTCCACAAGCCCTACTTCTTTGCCCTGTCCAAGCGCGGAACAAAACCTTCGAATGATCTGACATATGACCTCGTTGCGCAGCTGTCTGTGAGTGCGCATGGACACTATCGCTCGCTACATTCGCATGTTTTGCTAATGATATCGGTTCATTATATGTTAAAGACGGTCCCTAAATGCGGCCCCTCATGTAGCGATTCCGGTTCGCCATTTATCCTACACACGCCGCCTCCTTACTTGGTGATTCCGGTTCATCACATCTCTTGACCATGCCCCTTCATTTGGCGATAAAGGCTCATCATATATCTTAAACACGCCCCCCCTCGTTTGGCGATAACAGGTCGTCGTATATTTTAAACACGCCCCCCCACTGGATGCCGGTTCATCGTCTTTCTTAAACATGCACCCACATTTGCGACAACAGCCCACCACATACCTGAAACACGCCCCGTCATGTGGCGATTCCGGTTTACCATATATCTTAAGCACCCCTCATTTGGCGATGCCGGCTCTTCCTATATCACAAAAAGTGGCAGACCGACTGACCGACTGCCCGATCGACTGTCTGCATGGCGCTCGATGCATGGATCAACCGACCGACCGACTGAGTGACAGACCGGCGTGCTCGTGTAGCGACCGACGGACCGACTGCAGAACGAGCCGTTCCTGTGAGTTTCGCTGTGCAGTTGTTTGTGCGTATGCATTTGATTCATTGCTTCCTGCACTCGCTCCCTTATAAAGGGAGGAGCGGGTGTATAGACCCTATCGCAAAGCGACAGGGGTCTATGCGCCTTATAGGGGTCCTATGTATAGACCCCTATCCCACCTGTGACACACCCCCTGGCCATAGGTACCTATCCGATTCCCCAGTCCGATTCTATGCCTTTTCCGATACCCCTATGCGATACGGACCTATGCCTTTTCCCATAGGCGGCTACTTTCCGGATTTTTACTCGAGAATTGCAGCGCAACGGTTCCCAGCGGCGCAATGCTGTGCGGCTACTGCGTGGGCTCGGCGTTGGTGGACACAGCTGTCGGTCGCTGTTCAGCGTGCGACCGCCGTGTCGGTCGGGCATGGGCTGGGGCATGGCCTGCGAGATCTCGCGCCTTGGCAGATGCTTCGGTGCTCGAGCCCTTGTTGGACCTCGCCGATGCGGCGCGGCCTAGCACTCCTTGCCGCATCGACGTTGAACGGTCCGCGGGCGGGCCGGTGGGCAGTTTTTCTAGGAGACTAAGGACACCCCTTTAGGCTGACGCAAAAAGGTATGTGTGTGGGTGTGGGTCTGTGTCTGGGTGTGGGTGTGGGTGTGTGTGAAAAAAGGATGTGGCAACCATTGCATGCATGCCGTAATTCGTGCAAAATGGGTTTGCACATGTGCCATTTACAGCTCCTGGTGCAGTCAGCGTCCATCAGCGCCGCAGCGTGCCAAGGTCTGTCACAACCATTTGCATGAAGGATCGACAACACGGACTAAACAAAAATTCCAGCCGTTACAAAGCCATGGCAGCGAAATCCAGCACGTTCGCCACACTTCTGACCTCGGATGATTTCTTGATGGATCCGTGGCTGTTGGGTTAGTTGCTTTCGCAAACGTCGCAAAATTTTCAATTAATGCACTCGCCAGCGGTCATGCCCCTCAATTTCCTGCCGAGGCGGTTCAAGCACTGGCGGCATCACTGCGGGCCAGCACTTTGCAACCACTGCCGCTGTTGGTTGCCTGCCCGCATACCCAGAAAGTATATACATGATGCGATGATTTCAGGATGCACCGGTGGGGGCCCCCACCTTGTGGCATTGCAAGTTTATCTGCAGATTATAATGGAAAGCTGAGGTGAGTCAAGTGACCAAGGCACAACCCCGACCTGGCTGACCCAGGTCACACAGCGACGACAACCCAACAAAAACACAGAAAAACACTGCCGAACTTGTTCAACAAATGCGGCGGCGAAAGAAACAGCCACGAAATGCTGATTGGCACAAGGCCAACACCACGAAATCTTGGAGGTGTAGCGGGGTGGTGGGATGTTCACCGCACAACCTGTTTGGTCGCTGAACTGATTCCCTTGGTTACGATACCTTGTCCAGTCATACCCTGCAGTTGTACGGGACTAGCATCCATTCATATGGCAGTGAGGCACGATCGTTTTCAAGAAAAGTCTCGTTTATCGGACAAATGCGGTAACCAGGATTTCTCCGTGATGCATTCCGGGATATTTGAGCCTCTGACTGCGAGGTTTTGCATACAAGCCAAGTATCCAATGGTGTGCAATCGCGACTGGCGACCGATCCGTCAGTCCAATTGCGGCAGCCCTAGCTATCCACGCATATGTCCCGGCGACATGCTGGACGGGAGCTGCGCACTGACAGGCGGCTGGTAGACGCCATACCGAATCCTCACAAGACAGATGTGTTACTCGGCTGGCAGAAAACAGTCGAGGTCATTCCGGATTCAGCATGTAGCTTGTGCAGAGAAGGAAGTGCCTGCTTGCCGAGAGCGAGTGACAAAATGTTTCTTGCGGTGAAACGCAGGTCCGGCTGGGCAAATTCTGGTTTCACGAAGCTCCGCCTTTGGGAACAAGTCGATTTCGACACTTGCGCCCGCACTAACAACTGAAGTATGTTGGGCACACAGTTTGTGTCCGCGCTTTCCTGCCAAAGCCTGGCCACTTGTGTATCAAGCAAGCCGGGCCAGCAGAGGACATGCATCACGCACCGCGACTTGACCGTCGCATAAACTACCCGAGATCGGGGCAAGTGCATACACTGGTGAAGTTGGCTTTCCCGTAGTCGACACGTACATAAGCTGCGGAATCTCGGTTACGAAGCTGAACGTCGACAGTCTTCTGCTCGCCGAACACTTGGAGAAGCTAGATCATGCGATCCTCATTTACAGCAGGAACTATGCTTGCTCGAGACTTCTTCTTTCCGTGGCAATTCCACTGTAGCACCGTTCTACTTCTTTACTTTAGGGCTCTGCCAACATGAAATTATGGGATATTGTGGAGAAGCTGTCTCCAAGGATCCGCCAGCGACACTCTATGCATAATATGTGTTAATGGGCATCGCAGCAAGATGGGAGAGTCATACGTCGACTAGTCCTCGACTGTTCTCGATCCCAGACATAATTAGGACAGCATGTAGCAGGAACTTGCATTTACGAGGCGAAGATCGTGTATGTCGATGCCGATTGCATCATATTGGCAGCCCCAGCACGCTTGTTCAGTTGCGTTCGCGTCTTGACAAGATGCAGTTGTGAATAGAAGGTCCCTGCTCGGCCCTCTTCTTATCTGTACTTTTGAAGCAGGAAAACATCGACGAGCTCTTTGCACGTTCCTGTCCTGCGTTCTGCCCTGTTGCTTGGCGAACTAAAACCTAGTCGTCTAAGACAGAGCGCCGCGCGAACATGGTTTTGGCTGTGCGGCTTGCAGTGATGTTAGTACGCCCAGTTGCAAATCCTTCCGTGGCAATGTGCAAGGACGTTTTTCCGCCCGACAAGTTCAATGCGGGCGTGATAGTGTTGGAACCGAACCTGTCCGTTTTCCAGGAGTCGTCAGTAAATTCGAGTATTCATGTAATTGCTCCCCAACAGTAGCCCTCAGGGCCATACCCAACTTTGCTCTTAGTCTTGAAGTGGTGGTTTATCGGGGAAATCTTGCTGGTTGCACCTTGCTGGCTGCATGCGTTTTGGTGTTCGTTGTCGTGATGCATGCGCTAGATTCTCGATGGCACACCACCGCGCAAATGAACCAGTACGTCAGTATGTCTTCATGCGCCCGTGATGCTGTACCTTGCATCAGACCGCTACCACACATTGGATTCCGGCACACGCTACATTTCGCACAAATTACAGTAAGCGGCAGAAGTGGCGTGATTACATGCATCAAGTCAGAAGTCCGACGGTTGACTTCTTCATCGGGACATGCGTCGCTGCACTGACAGCCTCGATTTGACCTGGTCTGCCGCAGTGTGCAAGCTCCGATGAAGACTGTTGGTCGGATAGTGATAAGACAGATCAGTCAGATGAGTGCAATTTCTGATTCTGATTTGCAAACTTTTGGGTTGTCTTGCCTTTCTTCCGGTCGTTTCGTCCCTCCTGTGCAGTAAGTATAAGGGGCTTTCAGGCAACAGTGCGGGGCAGTTCTAGCGCAATTACATGATTTAGTTTTGTTAGAAGCTAGTGCCGATGTGACAATGATCGCACCCATAAGCACAACAGAAGCACAGCTCCCAGAAGTTTGAGTACAATGACCACAGACCTTCAAAGCAGCGTGGTGCTGCGGTTGTCCCGCAGGACATGATGGACAAGATGCTTGTGCTGCCGTCCCATGATGGAGGTCACACAGTGAGCGTGCCGTAGGCTTGCTTCGGCGTATTGAGCCTCAGCAGGCGACACAGGCTTCCTGAACGCTTTCTTCCCTGACTGGTACCTGTGGCCTCCTGAGCAACGGCTGCCATTCCGGTATAATGCTCTACGGACCATGTACTGGCGACTTGGTTGCAAGCCAAGCCTGGTTGGACTTAAGTACGGACCGCATAACCTAGTGGCGAGGTGCGAGTGTATGTCTCGGTAGCGCTGAGACTCGTCAAGCATGGTTTTGCTTTCTGAACAATCTAGAGTTCTTCTAGACTTGCAGCGCAAATCCGTGAGACAACGAAGTCACGTTCGTCTCCAAGCGCACGACTGGTCTAATTTGTGGGCCGACAGTCATCAGCATGCCTCTCCATGTGAGCCGCAGACGTATTTCGCTGCAGCTTGCAACTGCACATGTCCACTGTGCAATCGGAGGTTCACACACGCCAACCCTGGGTACTGGGAATCGGTACAGCCTGTGAAGGCACTTTCGGCAAGCATATGCTGGGTTGCCAACCAAGCAACAAGCAAATTTGGGTTTATGCTGAAGAGCTCGTGCGCAAGCCAAATTACATGATCACGTCCCGTGCGTTCTTCCTCAGGTGCTGCACTTCTGTTCGTCCCCAAAGCCTTGGGACAAGGAGGCCAAGAAGGGAGATCTAGAAGCGTTTCGAGGCCGCATCGATCTTCTCTTGTCTTCATGAGTTTGACACTGTGCAGAAAGAAGTTAGGCTCTGGTGGCAATACTACTTGAAATCGCAGATGCCCTTTTGATGGCCTGAGGCTCGCACTTGAAGAATAGCGGCAGGGAGGAACTTGAGCTGTCATTCGCCGTGCAGGATTCCCCAAAGCCAGTGCTCCACGGGCGAGTTGCTCTCCATGCCGTGGTCGTCACGAGACTTCGCCCGCTGCGCACACGGATACCGAGGAGGCGATAGGGGAAGGTGTAGCACCAAGGAGGGGCCGGGGCCGCGCCTTGGCAACTTGGTGCAGCTCTTGGAGCCGGAAAGGGCTTCGACTGGAACTAACGCTGAAGGATGGAGATGATGTGAAGACGGGTCGGCTTTTCTACCTTCGCTGCTGCAATTTATGTGAGACAAAGCACTGGAAAGCATCTGCAGTTCATGTTTTGTTCTTCGGGGTGTGCGAAGTTCGTGATATCATGAAGCAATCACGGATCACAGGATGGCACTGTACTGTACTGGGAGTGGCAAGTTTGTCCTTTTTATGTCGCCCTCAAGTTTCAGGTTGTAGACATGTCGCAGAAAAGCAGGCGACAAGAACCTTGAAAGCAAGACCGGAAACGTCAACAACGGTTGAGCTCCCACTGCTTATTCTGGTGATAGTTGTACGTAGTCACCAACTGCAGAAGTTGGAGCCTGCACCAGACAGGGATGTATAAGATGTGTAGAAGCTTGAAGCGCTGGAACCGAACGCGCGCAGTCGCAAGAGACAGCATGAGACCGGCTGCCGACAGCTGATGTGATGTTTGAGTTTGACTTCGACGATCTCGAGGACGTAGCACTTGTGACAGTTTTCTATGGGTGGCCATCATCAGTGCTGACCAGGAGGAACCTGCGTCTGGGGCGAAACATGCAGGCAGAGAACCGGTTTCCCTCCATCTGCGACGAACAATGACCGACGTTGACTTCGCTTGTCGTAGACAGAGAACTCATGCTGTGTTCGGCACTAGGCCTTGAAGAGTAGGATGTCCACTACACGAAGACGGTGCTGGGCAGATGATAAAAGAGTAGAGCACATGAGGCCGAGCAGGTGGACGCTCTGCACCTGGAGTCGCATTTCAGCTCGTCCAAGAAGGGCCGGGCATTGTCGGCCGTATTGCGCAGACGGGCAGTGCTTTGCGGCTAAGGCATTCTCCTCGAAGGTGCCGGGATCGCAGCAGGCAGATCGCTCAAGTTTCTTCTTTCTATGACAGCTGCAAGCGGACTGCATCGGAGGAACGCAAGAGCCACCAGGGCTAATTAGGATGTTGGTATACGTTGGTTGCCTTGGAATATGAGAGGTAGCGAATGGCAACGCCAAGGCCAAGGCCAAAGTGAAGGCACGAAGTAGCGGTGCATAACGTGAGCAGACTGCCAGTGCAATCGACCTTATACCCACGAAGAAGCGGCATGTACTCGAATTTACGACATGTGCCTTTGGCCAGTCGTTTGGCCGCTGTGGAGACCCTAGCACCGGTAGCGGTGTGCCCATGTTCAACCCGTTGGCGACCCAGCTGGCATCAGCTGCTCAAAGCTTGCCTCCTATGTAGCTTTTTCTTCTCATTGCTAGAGAATTTGCAACTTTCCGCTTGAACAGACATCTGTCATTCCCAACTGCTCCACATTCCACATATACTAGCGTCTGCAGCCATGTGATTCGCGAAAGAAGTGGACTCTCCGTGGTCGCAGTCGCGTTGAAGCGGCACCCGAGCCGACGCGCAAAGAGTTGCAATGTGGACTGGCAGTGGCCGAACGACCACCACAGAAAGATCATTGACGCTGTATGTGACCAACATCCCGGAGAACACGACAGCGGCTGATGTTTCAGAACTGTTCTCCAAAGATGAGGGCTTTTGTGGTCTTCGGGCGGTTGGAGGTTCCCGCAAGATGGTCTTCGTAGATTTTGGATCAGAAACGCAAGCCACACAGTCCATGAGGCGCCATCAAGGCCACTGCTTTGAAGGCAGTGGAGAGGGGCTCATGATAGATTTTGACCACGACAAGCGCACAAAGCGAAGCAGGGCCATAGAGAAACCATGGAACTCGGCAGCTTTCAATACTGCAGCGACCAGGTCTGCATGTCCGGCTGGGTGGGGACGAGGCAAAAACAGTGGGCAAGGCCGCGGCGGTCAAGGCGGTCGCGGACGCCGGCGCTTACCAAGCAGAGAACGTGAGGCGGCAATGTTCCGACGAGAACAAGCTGAGCGAAAGCTCCCCGACGGCTATGTTGCCGAGCAGCCACCAGCAAAGACTGTGAGGCGTCCGCCCTCGTTTGTCACAGTGCGTAAGGCAAACCACCAGGACATGGGCGCAGAGCATGCTGAGCCTGGTGGAGAACGCGCCCTTGTGGACTCGCGGCTTTGTTGATCATCCTCTTTAAATTGCCTTTGGCTATCTGCGGGGTGTGGTTTCCAGCCCAAACATGAGTTTGAGAACCCCAATTTATCATGGCCGATTTGCCGCCCCGGCATGTCCAAGGCGTACGGCTCAAGCGAGAGCAGTAACGATGAAATGTCTGAGGCTTCTGGCCGAATGCAAGCGGAAGCAGGCAATGTCGAAGGCGACGGCGGGTAAAACGCTGCATGATGCTTCTCGAGCCTCCTTTGTCCACTGCTCTCGGGTAGAGTACCAGTCGCATGGGGCAGTTCATATTAGCTAAGCGGTACTCTTGCTAGGGTTCGGCAATGCCCTTCAGCCGGCATGCAACTCTTTTGATCACGAGCTGGCTATCGGCCTTCCTGCCAGCATGTTTTCGCGCGGTCACGAGCTGTCGAGCCTCAGCTCTTGTTTTTCCTTATGGTCGCTGTTCGAGCGCGGGTCACCATGAGCCTCTCTCCAGCGCGCTTGTCAACCTTTCGCCGCTCACAGCTTATTACACCTACTGACACGCAGAGTTCCATGAGCGTTGCAATCATGATGGCCAAGAATGCAGCGAGACCTGACATCGCTCGCATCATCTCGGGCCTGAATATTCCCGGCTCCAACCTGGCAGGTGTCGCACCCTCTCGCGGAGTAGGCCTCAGCAGTTGTTAGTCCGTGGACCTAAAGCCATTAAAGTCATTAAAGTTTTTTCTCCTACTACTCGCGGCATGGCCTGGCGCTGTTCCGGCACGGGCAATGCGGAGCTGGCCGCTGCGGCAAGTTTCGGAGACAGGGAGGGGGAGAAAGAGAGAGAGAGAGCCGTAGCCATTTTGGCTCAAGTCGACCTGCCGTCCTCCTTGTGGGGGCGCTCGAGAATGGCCCTCTCGGCCCTCGGAGAGTAGCCTCCGTGGGCTGGGGTGGGTGGACATTTCTCGAAGCGGGGGGAGGCTTGAGTCACACGCAGCAGCCCATACAGGTCGAGCCGCCCGGGGGTTAACAATCGCATCCTCCAGATCCTGAACGCGGCCCTCCTCTCTTTTTGGGAGGAGGTGGCCCGCTAGTAGGGGGGCGGAGCATACTTCAGCCGTGAGGACCTCAAAGTGATCCCGCCGGACTGCCAGGACACTCCAGGCAAGGGGGAAGAAGTCTCCAGAGAACGAGGGCACAAGTACGGGTACAGGGACGCGCAGACCCCGACTGCCGCTTGATCGAGGTGCCCGAAAGGGCCGTGAAAGTGCGAGGGGGGCCAAAGCCCAAGCAGGATGGCAGCGAGCACCGGTGCAGACAGTACTCGACAACGAGATGGGAGGAAGAAGCCGAGAGAGTCCAAAGCGGTAGCGTGAGGGAGCTGTTGTAAATACCGTGATGCCACAAGTGTCTTGCATAGTCGTAGGAATATGGGGGGGAAATTGCACGGAGCTGTTGACGGGTTTGCACTTGTATTGATGGGTCACTGAAGCAGCTTTTCCCGCCCCCGAAGTTAGGCGCCCGTTCCAAACCAGACCAGAATGGTCAAAATCCTCGATTTCCGAATGACGAACCTAGACACCTTGATAATTCGCTCTTTCAGTGCACCACTTTCGGGGGATCCGTGAAACCCTAATTGGGGGAGCCGCCTTTAAATAGACGCTTGTACTGACGAGAGGGGAAGAAGCCGGCCACAGAGCCGGATCGCATGTTCTTGGCGCGGCCCCCCGTGATTTACCAGACAGCGAATATGCGCAGCGCCCAGGCTTAACAGTACTCATCCGGTACCTGCCTTAGGGGGGTCTGAAGCTTAGCCTTCGAGGCGGGTTGGGGTTTAGAGTTCTGTGTGGTTGGCAGGCCGGTGAGTTAGATCGCACTGGCCAACTGTGTCAGTCCGTCCTCGCACCCCCAGTGCGCGGAATCGCGCGGGGGGGGGCCGACTCGTGCGGACCTCCCTCTGGCTGTGTTGAAGAAGAGAGAGTCAGATGGCTTGCCCTCAGGCCTGGGGAAAGAAAGAGATGGTAGTATACGTAGGGGGAAAAATGGTACATGCACGTGTGTGAGTGAGCGTAGGAACATGGTCGAACGATATCGTCTCCTTTATGGCCTTCGCCGGGACCGTGTTCTACGTTCTTTCCTCACCCTCTGGTCCCGTCAAGACGACGGGTGGGCATGATGCCCGGGGGCGCTGACCCGCCCTCTCTTCTTCCGCAGGGCGTGGGGGGCGTACGAGACCCCCCGGCCGCATGGGCCCTCCATGTGTTATGGGGCTTTTTGCTCTCTTCAGCTCGGCCAGGAGGGTCGGACGCACGAGCACCCTCCCCCCCGCGCGATTGCGCGCACCGGGGAATTTCGGGCGGTGAGAAAAAATAAAACTCTCTCTCTCCCTCTCTCGCTCTCTCTCTCTCTCTCTCTCTCTCTCTCCTGGGCTTGAGAGAGAGAGAGAGAGAGAGAGAGAGAGCGAGAGAGAGAGAGAGAGAGAGAGGGAGGAAAAACGGGAAGGGTTTTACGTCATGTGTTCGTGCTGGGGGGTACACATGCACACTTGGGGGACCCGGGCATCGCTCACCCCCGTGAGGGGTCTTCAGGGCAGACCGTCGCGAACCTTGGCCAGGGTCCCAGGGAGCCCACACCCCTAAGCAAGCAAGCAAGCGAGCAAGACGAAAAACTTGTGTCTTCGGTCTGTTATGTACGTCACGTGTACCAGTTCATTCCTCTCAGATTTTGCCCAACGAAGCGCCAGCACTAAGCGGGGCCCTGCTGGCCGGGCGACCTCATTCGTCCGCACAGCCCGCAAAAAGAAGAGGATGCTCTTGGCTTTCTCCGAAGCAGAGCCTGACGAGAGCTGTAATCAAGCCTTATTTCGGACCGAGCCAAACGAGGAAACAAGGCTATGTTGCTGTTGTTTGCTTGTGCCATCCTCTCCCGTCAATCTTGATTCAGAGAACAACGGAGGAGCCCTGAATAAAATGCACAGATCTCGAGTCCAAATTTGCCCCCATTGACACCTCACAGCGATTCCCCAACGCATCCAACGCTTTGAAATCACACCAACCACAAGATAGACCTGAAGCAAGCTGATTTAGGGGGGTATTCTGCTTGCAGAAGATAAGGGGTTGACATTGTAGGGGCCTATTGAACGGGGGATGGCACGGCAGAGAGAGAGAGAGAGAGAGAGAGACTGAAAGGGGGTGGGGGAGTAGGTGGAGCGGGTATGGCAGGTGCGGAACCTCCGCAAGGCCGGCGTCATCGCGTCGGAGTCCGTGGAGCGTGCAATGCTGGCAGTGGATCGAGGCCCGAGGCCGTCTGAAGTCTGAAGCCGTCTGGCTGTGCAGCTGCCGCCTCACAGGGATCTCCGGGATGGTCATTCACAGACCTGCCTGCACTCCCTGCGGAGATTTTCGCATGAGCGTGAACTCGTCGTGAGGACACTACGCACCCAAGAATCCGTACACTGATGCTCCGCAGATCCTTGGCTTTTCGGATTGCCGAGCATGAGCCTCGTCGTGCATGCTTTCTTTGAGCGCCCGGCTGTAGATTCTCTAGCACGTGTTCGCCGTAGCCAAGGCCAATAGGGTACCAGGCCACAATCAGTGCACCGCACATGCACGCACACGCTTTGGAGTTGCTCGCCAAGCACCTCCAGCCTGGCAGCTTGGGTTCGCAAATATGTAATCGAGACAAGAGCCAGTCCAGTTGGGCTCGAAATGACAAAGAACTGGTTTGGAAATCCCTACATCGCACGTCAACCGCAGGTTTCTCATTTTTTCATTCCATCAGCTGAATTCTTGGTCTGCCAAGGTATGCGTGCCCTGGATGTTGGCAGCGGCAGCGGGTATCTGGCAGCAGTGATGGCGCGAATGGTAGGGGCGGAGGAGAGGGAAGGAGGAAAGGTGGTTGGCATCGACTACCTGTCCCCTTTGGTGGAGCTTGCGGTGGAGAACATCATGAAGGCAGATGCAGACCTGCTGGAGAGCGCCTTGATGCAGCAAGGCATCTTCTTGTGGTGCAGCTGGAACCTGCATGCGTTGGAATGCTAGTAGATGCAGCATCATCGGAGACGACTGTGAGTTTCTGTCTCCGTCGTGGCCAGCTACTGTATACCATGAAGCATACATGAGGTGGGCTGCTTCAGCTCGAGCAGGGGGACGGATGGCAAGGCTACGAGAAGGTGTCTTGGTGTGGAACTGCGCGTGCCGGGACGAGTAGGGACTTGCCGTGCATGGCGGCGGTTTGAGCTTTACCGTGTTAACCATGTTCATGCGCCCAAAGCGAGAAAGAAGGCCATGCCCTTTGACTGCATCCATGTTGGGGCAGCAGCTGAGTTGCTCTGCTGCACTGCTGGAACGTTGAAGCATATATTCCAATTGACGACACGGCAGTTCCCGGTGCATGAAGTGATTCTATGCCCTTCTTACCGTTACCGACCGAGGTCTGTTCCCGAAGCTTTGCTCGAACAGCTGAAGCCTGGAGGTCGAATGGTGATCCCTGCCGTTTGGTTGCACAGATGCTTCTTCAATACATTTGTGATTTCATCACAGGTTGTGTTGGCGAGCAGCCGTGGCTAACAGAAGAACACTACGATGCACTACGTTGAAAATCCCAACCAGGGGCTTGAACGAGGGCTGCCCTATTCTGGTCCCTTGCTGTTTGGAAGCGACAAACGAACGTTGCAGGTTGGGAATATAGGGTCATGTCCTGCACCGCATGCCTTCCGCTTCGAGGTCGGCACCACATCGCAGCAGTTCTGCCAGATTGATCCTTGTCCGAGTCTTGTTTCTTGGGATCTATCCTGGTGTCCTTGCAGAGAGGGGTGTAGCATCGAGGCGGCTTGTCATGCCCGCGGCAAAGAGACGTAGAAATACCTGCAAGGTTGCAGCAGCGACTAAGAGCAATTGAATCGAACACCGAAGGACCGCCTGCCGAATGGCAACTTCGAGCAGAAGAGCCTGATGGGGGTGTCTTTGCTGCAATGTTGAGCACACTTGGGAACTCACTGTTGCTGCCTTTGCAGGTGTTGTGTTGTGTTAAGTTCATCCAGATTCTGTCAGCTCGTTGGAAAGTGTGGGGCGAGTTACGCTCGTCAAAAACAGTGAAGATTTCAGAAGTAAGGTCATGTACGTTCCATTAGTACATCCTTCGCCGCGGATTTGAAGGTGGGATGAAGCACGTAGAAGAGTGCAGGCACAGCTGCGGCCGAGCTTAGAATAGAAACCGACAAAGTTGAGATGCCCTGAAGGTTCAATGCGACGGAACATCCCACACCGCGGACAAGCATAGCTGGCACAGCTGATGGTGTCTGACAGTGGACTCCTTCTGTCCGTGGTTGGGAATGATGCATCAACGAGTAATGGAGCTGGTGTCAGCCAATGACTTGTGGATTGAGCAAACGCATTCGATCTTGTCGTTGCGTTGTTTATCTGGTGCAAATTCATCCGAAGCATGTCTCCGCATTGCGATGCACATCTCCAAGTTTGTGCATATGCTGGTGCACGTTGCTCACTCCTGGTCCTAGCAGCTAGCAGCACAGCTCAGCAGCTCGAGATAGTATTGTGGCCCAGTCTCCTGGTTGTAGGAACTAGGGGAAGCTGCATCGATGCCGGTAAGACTCCGGAAGCGACGTAGCAGAAGTATGGGTCCTCGGGCATGGAAAATTAGGGGACGTGCCTGCGAGCTCTGAAGCATGAGAGGGGGGCCCATGGAGGATGCAAGACTATGTCACTGTCTCATGTTGTTTTCAAGCTACGGCTGCAGTCCACATCGGTTTGTTGTTAGTGCTTCCAAGCCCCGCTTTCAATTCCCGTCACATGTCTTGGCACGGGGATCGCAAGACCACCTTGTTGAACCCCGCAGGTCCCTTCTGCAAAAATCTCGCACCGTCTCTGTGCGTCCTTAGATCTTTTTAGCCTAGTGTGTGTTGCTGTCATCCTGCCTCCACTCCAAATCCCACACCAGCGATTACGACAGGTTGGTTGCTCTGACACATTAAGCTGCCAAGGGTCGTTGATGATGGCTTTGAGCTGGTGCTGACAGCCAGAAATGCATCTTTAACCAACTGCACCAAGCAGAACACAGATACATTTTTGCAGCAGCTGGTCGATGTGGACTGGCTTCCTATTCACTGCAGCCTGTGACGGGGAACGTGCCTTTGCCAAAAACAGGTTGTCATTGACATATTGCTGCTGGGCACTTGGCAGATCATCGGCGAAAATACAGTGCGGCACGTACATCTGCGAGTTAGTGACTAGAGACTCGTGCGTGATCAGCGGGCCTACACGTCGCGATCTTTACAGGCGGTAAAGCCTGACCTCTTGGGAGCCCTCGCAGCATGGCGCCCAGTGCCTGACAAGTAGGGTGAGTGAATCTGCAAGAGTTGGAGACAATTCCTTGACATGCCAAACATCCAGATCACGAAAGCTAGCTCCTTTGGAGCTTGCTACCCCCCAACCCCCAACTGTCAGCCCAATAGACACCGAAGATAGCCCGCAAACATCTGCACAACTGAAGACAGCAGCATTGCCTCAGACAGTTTCATGTTCGCCTCAGGCTTCTTTTGCGCAAGGGACCCCATTTAATAGGAGAGAAGGGAAGACAGAACTGCAAAAAAGACACGCGAGGGTAAATAACCGTTTCAGAGTTGCTATGTATTCTGTCTTATGCATTGAAGACAGAGCTTGGCATCCATCGTTCAGCGCCGGCTCAGGTGTAAGGTTTATGACCAGTTCGCATCACAGCCAACACTGCATCAATCGCGTTCGCTTACCAACGTCTGCTTGCGTTTGCAACTTCCCTAGCTTTCGTCGGCTCTGCTCTCAAGTTCGGGTGATGGGGTCATACCCAGGCTGAAGAGACTGCCCGGGCTGCGGCGATGCTGGCAAAGCTGCTTGGGCAATCTGTTATCAGCTCCGAATCCCTGTTTGGCGTGCAGCCGTTCCTCCTGCTAGACTCCATGTCAAGGTTCGCCCCAGTGCCGAACGGATCTCCACCGCCGCAGCCTGCTGCAATGCCAGAGCCAAGGCTGTTCGAACGAGATGAGACCCCAGCAAGTTCAAATGCTTCTGGCAACTTGCTTTCTATGTTCAGGCAGCCACAGGTTCAGCCAGTCCAGCCATCACCATATCGCGTCTAGCTCTGAGTCAGATTCGAGCAGCCTCGGTCCAGTCATGGGTGGGCTTGCACGACTATCCGCGCACTCACAAGATGCACCCTGCCCATCTGTGGGTGCTCGGTAGGCTTGGCAGGACGTAGGAGCCCAAGGATGTACTCACATTATCACTCTAGTGGCCCGAGCTGTGCCACGTCTGGCTGGTCCGAGTGCGGGAGAAGAACTGTAGCCAAAGGGCTGCGAGAAAGAAGCTTTCGCATGATAGCCAAACCAAGACCCGTGATAAATTAGACTCTTGTTCTGCCGCATGTATTCTGACGGAAGCGTAGGATAGACGAGTAATACTTGGAACTGCGGCTTTAGGTGGTGAGGACGGAAGGTTGTAGACAACGGTGTGCGATACACAGGGTTTTCGAGCGTACACAAAGTTAGTGAGTTGACTCCGCCCCGATGGTGCAGCCATGCCCCGAAAAACCATCATCTTCGTGCGCCATGGCGAATCGGAGTACAACAAGGTGTGCATCTTGCAAGTCTTGCAAACTTCTTGGCACAGGTTGGCACATGGAGCGATTACAGAAGTCGGGAGCGGGGCAACTGTCACAGGCCATGCGCGAGACTGGGGAGGATCCACTGCTCCGTGATGCGAAACTCACTGAACGTGGTCGAGCACAGGCCCGTCAACCTGCACTTTCCTGCATGTAGGACAAGCATCGCAGATACAAGGCGAAAGCTCATCAGCAGATATTAGGTGTGGCCAACTCCTGACAGCATGTGCCTCAATTCTTGCACAACTGCCAGGCAGCTGCTGCACGGCCGCAGTTGCAAGAGCTCTTCGAGGTGCACCGACGGGAATTTTAGCTCGAAGTCCAGTTTGCTTCGCAAGGAAGGCATTGAGATGTTATGTTATGTTAGGAATCTTACTTGATGTTGTTCGTAGATCTTGACGGTGCCTGATGGTGCCTCCACGGCTTCGTCCACATGTTGTTCCTCCGAGGAAATCGGATCCGCGGCTGGTTTCTTGGACGCAACGGGTTCTTTGGTAGCTCAGCTAATCCGATCCGGGGCGCACCGGACTTCGGACGAGAGCGGTCAGACAGAACTGACGCCATGCTCGTGCGAATGCATGGCGGTACCTCTAACACTGTTCACTATTCAGCACAGCTGCTCTTCAAGCGTGCGTCTGCAAGCCTACGACCTCGAATGCTGCTTGCTCTACTCTACACTGGTTACAAGTCCTGATCAGAAGCCGGAGTGTTTGGCGCAGGTTGGCTACTTCTCAGTTCACCACTGCGCCGTGCTCTCGATACAGCTGCAGGCGCACCATGACGAATATACCCTACAGCCTTGTTCTACATGGCACAATCTATGGCAATCTGTCGTGAACGGCCACGAGAGAAGTGATTTTCTGCTTGAAGCGGTTGCAGAAAAGTGCGGCTTGACAGGGATTTGGCCGGAAGCATTCCAAGCCGGAGAGGGCACCTTCGAGATTTGGCCCGAGCTTCGCGAAGTCGTCCGGATGCCCAGATGCCCGCGGAGGGCAGCTCTCTTGGCTCGCTCTCGTCGGGATGATCTGAGGTGACGGGCTGCGATGATCTGGGCTCCACGCCAAGCAGCTCCAACTTGCCTTCCCCCACCTGGAAGCCCAGCTTGGCTGTCTGCCCGAGGTGCTTTCCGAAATGGTGGTTTCCGAATACCCAGCGCGATAAGAAGTGAAGCTGCAGGTGTGGTGGACCATCCCGACGGCTTACCAGGATGTGCCTCTGGACGGCCGCTGGGTTGCGAGCTCCGAGATGAAAATGGAGGGATGCCTTTCCACAATGTCTGCTGCCTGTCAAGTTCGGCTTCTTCGAGGCATACTCAGACACGAGCAACCCTTTCCGGGACAGAGGTAGTTCGATCACATGGGGTTCTCATGCCTCCCACATTCGGGTGATTTTGAGTACATTATGGGTGAGTATGGAGAACATGCTGAGGAGATGACCTGCGGAATGCGTACCAGAAGGACCCTGATGCAGAAAGCTCAGATTCGTCGTCCAGCTTGCAAATCGTCCAACGGCATGAGTGGCTCGAGCACGATCAGTTGGTTCGGAAGATCATTAGTTTGAGGTGCAAGATTAAGTCAAATCTCCCACTGAGGCATTTGAGGCTGCGGACGAAGCTATCTTTGCTAGCCGTGTGGCGCAGCTACTGGAGAAGCTAGCATCCGTGAAGGAAGATCGGATCGCTGCAGCCTCAGTGAACTGCACACAAGGCCCACCAAGTTCGTAAGCTTCCAAGTCAAAGAAAGCCCCCAACTCCCAAGAAGCGAATATTCGGAATGGCTTGGTCATAAGAGTCGCTTGAGTCGTTAGTGCTTGTTACATGCAGAGGAGTATTTCTGCCATCCTATGTTCTGTACATTCACTGCACGTTCTGAAAGCCTGACCAGTGTCAACACTTGCAGTTGCTCGATACCCCTGGATGTATAATTGCATGCCTTCGAACCCGTGACCGTTGCAGAGTTTTGCAGAAGCCCAGGTCGTGGTAGCGCACTGTGACTTGATCGGGGAGTTGACGGAGCAGATGGGTTTGACAGAGAGCCTTGGAGCTTGTGACTGCCTCGCTCTCTCCAGGTCCTGGCCTGCTTGACATTTCCACAAATTTCCATGGTCGAAAACTCACAATCATGACCTCGCGTGAATCAAGGAAGAAGAAGTCGGGAAAGCTGCGGAAAGGATGGTGGCTTAGCACCTTGGCCACAGGCAATAGTCACAACAGTTCGAGTGCTCCAGTTCATTCATGAGAAGCTCGAGACAAAAGAAGTCAGGCTGTGGTGCCGCTTCGTTTTTTACTAGTAACTAGTAGTTAACACGGCAGACTTGAAGGTTTGCTTTAGGTGCCCATTTACTTCCCAGCAGAGGCTTTGCAGGCTGGATGCAACAAAACTAGTAGTTGACACTGGTTTACCCTTGCTTGATGTCGCTCGGTGTCTGATCGTGTTCTTCATGCAGCAGCAGGCAACTGTGAGTGTCGCCTCCTTCGTGACTTCGAGTTCAAGGATGCCCGAGTGATGCCAGGAGCATGAGAGCCGAAGATGTCGCCAGTAGTTTGTGGTGTTTCTGCAGAGCGCCTTGCAGCACCATCGTCCATCGTGGATTCTCAAACAGGATCCAGGACTGTACAGGTTGCTCACGGTGAGTTCTTGAGACGGGAAAGAGCGATGAGCATGTTTGAGGCCTAAGCAGGACACGAGCATACGAACAGAGATACGCAACGTGCAAACCATAGCAGCTTGCAGCTGTAGTAGCCGTGGTGCTGGCAACAGCAGCACTGGCATGCAGACACAGAAACCCCATCCATGGCAGAAGTTGTCAATAATTGCAGCATAACTACCCAGTACAGCAACCAGAGCAACAACCACAGCATAATCGAGCACTGCGAGCTGCCTTATGCCGAGGCGCCTGAGCCTGCGCCAGCAGCTGCCCGGACCAGTCTGGCACAGCCTCGGAGGCCCGGAAATTGGTTTGACTCTGTGAAATGAGCTTGCGACTTGCGACTGCTCACAGCCACAGCCACAGCCCAAGAAAGAGAATCCCTGAATCCTTCTTTCAATTTGACTTCGGCATGGAGGACTGCTGGCAACGGCCGGCCTGCCTCAGATGTGTCACGGCCTCAGCTCCCTCCGAGACTTTCTGCTTCGCACTATGCATCGTGCAGGCCTCAGAAAGCTACACAGAGGAAGGAAGTATCTGAGAGGCCCGCTCCCGCATCCCACTGCAGCCTCCATGGCTTGGCACTGAGTGTTGTGTTCAGTCCAAAGAGGTCCGCGGATGAGGCTGCTCTACAGGCGGCGGCAGAGGCACAGAAAAACAGCGAACAAGTCTTACAATTCAGCTACACATGATACCTTGTGACCCCTACTCTGCAGATGTTCAACTGTGCGCTGCAAGATGCTGCAGCTAGCAATTGGTGGCGCAACTCCCGTCTGCATCCTTGTGGAAAGGCAGCTGCCGAGCGAGCTTTGGAACATGATCGCAGCGCGCACGGAAAAGACTGGTGGAAGAAGCTCCAGGCCTCCCTGGTCAAGATCGGCATGTGAGATGAAATGCCTCCATGCTGCGCCAATGAGTCGAAGCAACAGAATTGCAAGCTACGTAAAGGGTTTAGCGCACTTCGAGGGCAAGGCCGAGCCAAGCTTCGACAGGCTCCCAGGGAAGCGAAACCCGTGCAGCGAGTCGACCGCTTGTGCGGCACCCGGAGAAGCCACGGTCACCACAAAGGAACAAGCGAGTTTCAGGTCCATGTACCCGCAGCAAAAGATCGTGGAGAGCGGCTCGCAGATCCGACTTGGACTTTGAAGTCACCGCTGCTGTCGCTCAGCTGCAAATATGCGCCAGAACAAAAACCTGCCTGCATGGCAGGTCTCAATTGCCTGTCAGAGGCTTCAAGGTTCTGGCAGAGGCTGGACGGCAGCCCAGTGCAGCCGCATGCATGCCGGGCGTGCTGTACTGCATTGAGTGCCGTCTCTGGACCATTGTCGAAGTTAAGAAGCCTGCGTCTGTGCTTCAAGCCATGTCTGCGCCAGCAACTCCACAGGCTCTAACGCCTGAGTTTGCCGGTTGTGCAGCGTCTTGTTTTCCTAGCCTGGCCCCACGTTGCTGTCGATGGCGATTGTTGTCATCGTCGAGGAGTGAAACAGCACGGCAAGTAGAGAGCAGGCTGTAGTCCGTGGCTTTACCTTTAGTGTTGCGTATTTCTATGTTTGTCTGGCCTGCCTCTGAGCCGTAAGGTGTAGTCCCTGTTGCTGGCCGACCTTGAGCCCTTGCTGTCATGCAGCTGGTTAAGGACAGCGTTTCATTTTACTGAGTGCTATGTGCTAGGTTTGTTGCTTCCCCAAACCAGCTGCTCGGGAGGTGATTGTGTGCTGTAGATCCCTCCAACCCATGTCCCACGTGTGACCTGCAATGCAGTCTTCGGATCAGCCAAGCGGGAGCCCAAAAAACAGCCAGATTGTGCGGCACACTTGAATGCGAGGTGCAACCTGTTCGAGCCCAGCGCAGACCTCAGCAAAGCACACCAGAAGCTACCATTGACCACGGCGGAGTCACCATTTCCTGCGTAGGTGGATGAGTTCTCGACGTATGCACCATTTTGCCCTCTTTTGCCTATAGCTGCGGTAGTAAGTTGCAGGCAGAGGTTAGAAGTACAACCAGGTCGCTACGGCCATTTAACTTGGGGATGCTGTTTGCTGCGGTTCTTTCCATTGTTCAACATTGAACTGCTTTGAATTGGCCCGCAGCTTTTTGCTCGATCATGCAGAACCTCAAAAGGCACAGTGCAGTCAGCCCAGTGTAACGACGGAGTCTCAGGGCTCGCTTGAACCAAGCATATTACAGACAAACCCCAGAGTAGGCATATCTGCTTAATCTTGGTTGCATGCCTACGCAACAGACCAACTAATTCCCACTAGATAACTTTGCTTTGGTATCTGGAACATGCACCGCCAATGAAGTGCGCGGTTTCGCCATGCCGGTGCCCACGAACACACCTGCGCAAGGTCCGAGTCCAAAGGCTCGGTTGTCTTATATGAGGTCGTGCAGTCAGTGGCCGCTCCCCAAAAATCACGCGCTGCTGCATGCCCTCTCTATATGTCTCTCTCTCTTCCTCTTCCTCTCGCTGCTCGTGCACTTATGCGCGCATTCAGATGCACGCATAGCAGTGGAAAAAAAGTGGCAATGAACACAGACAGACGTGTGTGCTCCGGCATACACAGACGCACTCCTGCCCACGCATGTACTCCGACCCCCTGCATCTACACATGTACATGCCTCAAATCGCAGGATGTTGTTCAGGCTTCATGTAGGGAAGTTACCAACGCAGAAACATCGCAATGAGTGCATGACAGCCTTGTGCACCAAGCCAAAGTGAAGGAAGCGCAGCGGAAAGCGAGAGCATGTTTGCATGCCTGTCTGTGTGTCTTTGGATGATGGAAGGATGGATCCCTATTTGTGTGTCTCTCTGTAGCAGTAAAGCATATATATATATATACACACACCTATAAACTTGTGGGTGTCTGAGAGATTTGCGCAAGAGCTTAGAACAGGTGTTCGATGCCCTGGAGCGAGCAGAACGCGAGTTGAAGACTGCCACCGAGTCGCTCAGTGTGGTGGGCCAGCAGCTGGACGAACTCCGGGCTGTCGTCCAGGACGGAGAAGCCCGGCCTCCACAATCTCAGCACATGTCCGATTTTGGCTCAGAAACAAGCAATGATACGTCTTTGCCCACAAGCACTGGTCGGTGCTGGAATCCTAAGGAGTCCTGTCTCAATGCGACGGCGCTTCAGCAGCTGCAGCAGCCAGAGGTGGCAAAGACGAGCTCGACGACCTCTAGAGACTCGTCATCAGGCCGAGTCCTGCTGTCTGTGGCGGATCCTCCGGGGCTGCTGCTGCACCGGCACAACCTCCAGAAGAGGAAGAACAAGCAGGCACCGAAGCTCAACACGGCACAGGAACAATGTAGCGGCGGTGGTGCCAACCTGAGGGCGATGGGCATGTTTCCACATTGTGTATTGCTCCGGAAAACCAAGGCTGTTGCTCTGGTAGGAGATGCAGGGAATTCGACCAGACTACACTTGGGAGTCGAACAGAGGGCAGGAGTTCAGAACAGTCTTGACGCACAGGCACCCCAACCACGGTTCCGGCGAGTGAGCAACGTCCACGCCGGTGCAGCAGGCGTGGAGCTTCGCCTGCACGGCAGATGGATGGAACTGCTGCTTGGACGAGCTGGTCATACCTGTTTGTAATAGAGGCCCACCAACCCTGTGGTTGGGAGGACGGACAACCGCTGACGTGGTGTTGAAAGATTGAATTTCGTGAGAATTTAGTGATTGTGTTCTTAGAGGTCGTTTGCCAAATCTTGTCTGTGCTCGGCGAAGCTGTGGTAAGTTGCATGAGTTACTGATCACTTGATGATCAGCTACTCAGAAACTGGTGATCAGTCAGTGAGAAATCAATGACCAGTTGTGCAGAGACAGAAACCTGCTTTTTGTCCCCCGTTATTCCGCTTTGGTCGACTTGTCGCAGCCCTAGCCTCGTGCATCCACTTGAAGGGGAGCCGCAAGCATCGGTCTTCTCGAAGAGGAGGGACTGGGCACAAAAAGCTCGCAACGTGGCACGGAGAGGGCTCCAAGATCTTTCACAGGGATCGGCCCAACGAATCAACCCCATTTCGCCCAGCCGGCTCTCTTCCCGGTCCGTTCTGCTCTAGTTTCGCAGTCTTTCTGTGTTAAATGTGTCACATGGCCTAATCACGTACGTCATCTTCGTTCACTATGGCTCGAACTTCAGGTCAACGGAAGCATCTCAGGGTGAAGCTGGAAGAGACAGACCCAACAAGGCCCTTCATGCTCAGAGCAGTCTGTAGCTGCACCAGTCCCAATGCACACCTGAGAGTTCCAGAAATGTCCATCCCAAAGATGCAGCTTTCCACTACCGGCGGAGGCAAGAACTGCCTTTCGGTCTCGGACAGCCACGAAGGATGACTTGGCATCTGCGAATCTGTCTAGCAACTTGCCAATTCTACACCCGCAAGGCTCGCAGTCGCAACTGTTTGCATGATCTGGAGTATAGAGCACCCAGAGTCCGATGGCCAATGGCAGAGAACTGGACACGAAGCAGATCTTGTCAGACAGTCCTACTATATAGGTTCTTGCATCATCAGGGATGCTGCATGCCATCCGGACAGTGACCACATGTCAGTCCCTTGTCCCCAAAGACGTCATTCTTGCTTCCAAGGGTGACAGGCTATCCCCCTTGGAGATTGTTCTTCTCTCTTCAAGTGTAACGGCCAAAACGATTGAGCTATGAGTAGGCATCTTCAAACTTTGCTGGGATCTGCTGGCCCTGACGCTTCTCTTGAACGACTGCATTCTGCTTCCAATGTCCCTTGCATGGGATGCTTGACAGCAGCTGGTGAGTGCACTTGCATTGACTTCTCGAAGGTGAGTCTTCTCCGCGAACACTCCGCACTGTCTAGCACACGTATTTCCGCACGGGGAGCTGAGCCCGAGCAATGCAGCAATCTAGTGCAACCTCGCGGTTTACCAATCAGGTTTGGAGCTAGCAGGGCCGCTGGACACGGTTGCTCGAAGTAATCATCGCCTGCCAATCCGAGGACTTTTCAATGACGGACGTCGGCATCGGCGGCACACTTACTGCGGTCAGTTTCTACATTAGCCTCTTGGCAGGAACTAGCGCCCTTGTATGCGTGCTTTGTGCATTGGTTCGGGCATCCAGCCTACTCGTAGTGTGGGAGGTCTTAACGTCGGTTCTGCTGCAAGTTTCTCGTTCAGGCGTTCGGAGAAAGAGCTGGGGATTATGGCATGGGTATGGCGGTGGGAAGGGTGGGTGGGGGTTCCATTACTGCCAAAGTTCAGGAGGCTTCGGGCTTCGAAAGCCGAGGTCTGGTTTTCTGGACTGCCGATCTGCCCGTGAATCTGAACACGGCCACTTACATACGAGGCAGGTTTTCCTTCTCGTGTCACGCTGAAAGCCGCAGAATGCCATGTGTCTTTCAGTTTTGGGGTTGAAGTCGAGCATACCCTCGAAACATGGAAGGCCGTTTGGTCATGCGTCGTCGAAGCATTCTTTGGCACTACTCACGGAGCTGGATGCACCTGTGCACACTATACAAAACTTGCTTTGCTCTCTGGTTTCGTGGTGTGCAATTAGTTGTGTGCTTTCCAGAATTCTGCTTGAATTCCGAGGATGTTTGATGTGTTCGTACTCTCGCTGGATTACGGCTACCTCGCCCTGAGCACGGATGTGGTGTTGCTGCGGTTTGTTCGGATCTTGCGGGTTGTTCGCCTCGTCCGCATCGTTAAGCTGTCCAAGCTGAACACCATGATCGAAGAAAGTGCCGCGTCAGCCGGCCGGCAGTGGGTGACGCTAGTGGTTGCCATCACGAAGACGGCGATAACGATGTTGATGGTCGCCCATTTCTTGACATGCGCCTGGTTCTATATTGGGCTGCACTTGGGACCGGAGTTGCCAAGCTTGAGCTGGGTTGAGATCGCACAGATAGCAGAGAGGCCGGATGCTTGGCATGATGTGAGGTTTCGGTTAGTCCATGTTAGACTCGTGCTTTTCCTTTCCTGCATCTCACATTGTCACAGCAAGCAGGTGATAGCTCGAGGTCCTAACTCCTGGGTGACAACCACAGCATCCAAGCCTTTTGGATGGCTCATCGGCATCTAAGGAAACAAGGGACCTCAATGCTTCAAGCACGGATGACGATCTGAGCAGCGGCTGGTCGCCGGCAAACGAAGTAGCCCATTTAGTGCCTGGATTCATTCAATACATGCATTCGCTCCGCTGGATAATGAATTCGCCATCTCCTCCAGCGCCTGGGCCCGCAAAGTGGATGTCTTTGTCTGTGTGTGTGTGTGCGCATGTGTTTGCATGCGAACGTGGAAGAGCTCCTGTGCTCGTTGACAAGGGGGAGTCAGATAAGATAATCATGTGATTCGAGGGCCCAAACTACGTAGCAGGTAGCATGCGAGAAGAGGAAAGGAGAGCACTGAACTGTCAAGCAGCCGAGCCCCGGAACGCGTCGTCAAAGACAGACACTTCAAGGTGCGAAAATTTTGTCCGGGAGGGTCCACCTTTCGCGATCTTTGACGGAGGGCTCGAGAGAGAGGCCGCGAGTCGTGTTCGCGGAGTGGACGATAGCCCAAAGCTAGAAGGAGTGGGGGACCCCTGGGCATAGCCCAGGTGTATGCCATGTACCGGTGCTAGTAACAAACTGTTGGACTACAGCGATGCACCCCAAATTCCGCTTACGTAGTGAAAGGGGAGGCGAGGCAAACCCCCGTCTCAAGAATGCCGCTCTTGTACAGACAGAAGCAAAGAAAGATGGAAAGAGAGGATGCGACGACCCCTAGACTCTGTACCCTAAAATTGTTGAAAGGCCTGGCCAGGCCTCGATTTGGACAAACTGTTGCGGAGCCATCACGGGAGCAGGATTGACATATACACAAAAAGGCTTGAAACAACTTTGAATAGTGCCTACTGAGAACCAATTAGGGCTGCGACTTGTCGCGACAAACTGCCACGCCCCACAGCAAGACTTTGTCCACAGATTCGTCGTGGTATGAGACACTTATCGGAAGAAGCCTGTTCGTAGCTGCTGTTGTATGTGTTTACTTGACTACTAAAATGCGCAGCATGCTGAGGAAATGTCCGCTGGAAGCGGGGTTGAGTGGGGATTCGACATCTTGATTTCGGTGACGACTCTAGTCGTCGCTCGGTCGGAGCCTGCAGGATGATTCATCATTTGGATGTGCTGCGCTTGTCGCCAGATTTCTTGGAACTGGCCAAGTACAAGTAGATACTATCCTCGTTTGGGGCAGGTAGACCTTTGCCAGAGCCTTCCAGGTCATCGGTTCCGCGATTTCCAAGATCTCGGGGACCACGGCAGAGCTAAGGGCGATGAACGAGGTGAGGGAGCGCAGATCATCATAAGTCATTACAACATTAGTCACTGCCAAACAGCCGTCCCAAAACCTGCACTAGCTCATAAAGGCCAAGCAGCGTGCTTCATACACACGTGCCTATGCTTGCGTCGACAGGAGAGTGACCGACGCCGACGCGACGTACGGCTTTATTTGGCCGGACAGTCTGTGTCGTAGCTGGGCAGCATGGAACTGGGGCCAGTTTGGTTCTGCGATGCAGCTACCGGCTTCCCAGTTGACCTAACACAGGGTAGGCTGATTGTTACTGCAAGGGATGCGACTGAAGCATCGCTCGCACGCTTTCAGACGGTGTTTTTGTGTTGCGGCCCTCTGTCGTATGTTGCATGGCCGAGGTACGAGCTCGTCACCCGAATCATGCGATTCGTAGATTACAAGCTGGAGAATCCTTTCTGCATGTTCACAGAAGCACTTCAACGCCAGCGGAGCGCGAATCAGCTTGCAACAACGCTGGGAACTGAGGAAGTTTTCCACCAACACCTTGGAATCTTGGTGCTATTATGTGCATGACTTGAAAGCAGTGAGGGTGACGTCATTTCCATCTTGCCGTAGCGAAAGCATGCATAAGATTCAAGGATGCTTCCCTTATCTCGCCGACTCTACAACTGGAGCTGTATGTCAGCCAGCGGGCCGTCACTTTGCAGAGGTTCAGATGCTTTTACGGCCTTGGTTTCTCTCGAGGGGCGAGCTGTGCAAAGCAGTTCAAGACTTAGGGTTACTGGCCTTGTCACGGTTTAGAATTCTAGCCGTTAAGGCGACCGATACAGTTGAGAGATGTGTGATGGATTGCTGCCCGCTGTTGAGTGATCGACGCGACAAAGCTGAGAACTACTTGAGCAGAATGCCGATCTTCGCTCTGCTCCAGGCAAGGTTTGCTTCCTTTGAACGCATTCTGGAAGGGCGGTTTTGCAAGCCATGGAGTCTTTGGAGGAGTGCTACCCAGACGTGTTCGGATCGGTCTGTGCGGCCTTGAAGCGGCCTGGCTGTGCCACGAAGCCAGGGTTGTTTGGAGAGATGCTGGCATTGCTGGCTCGATTCTGCACAACGTGGAGCTTAGGAAGAACTTCTTTGAGAAGGGTGAGCCAGTCTTCCAAGCCGGATCTTACGCAACAAGCTTGCAGTTGACGAGCACAGGCGCGGGACAGGGAACTAGCAGCCATTCAAGTGCAAGTCCTCGATGCCCAAAAGCGTCCAGGCACCTACAGCTACCAAGACCAGAACAGCTTCGAGACTGCCACGGGGCAGCAAGTCAGGGTACGATAGCTGCGCAGTTATATAGTTCTTTCAGAATCATCACTGTTATGCCGAATATTCGCATCGTCGTTAAACAGCCATCACCACGACAAGGTTTGTAACATGAATCGAGGCACACCAAGAGGCCGTACGGACTAGTACGTGGATTCAACGATGAAGTTATTAACCAATTGCTGTTGTCTTAGACATCTGAGCAGTCAAGAACTACGGAAAATGAGCAATGGCAGCTGACAATGAGCAGCTGAGGGTGCATCTTTAAGTGTAACCCGTTGAACATTAGAACCTCTTGGTCATGCGCCCGAAAAACAGCAGCTATCGGGGGGCTGCGATCGATTGTTGGGGGTCCAGCTGGCGACACCAGTGGGCAGCGATCATCTCAAAATGTGCCTCTCGGGTCTTGGGTACCAATAAATTGCCAAAGTGAGCAGGTGGCTTGAGCGGGTTTGCAGGACCAGTGATGCAGAAGGGTGCAAAAGCTTGCGCGCAGGAGACCTTGGAAGGGTCTCATTGGTTTGGCGAGCTTAGCTTGTTCGCCGAGTCGACCATCCATCAGCCCCTCATCAGCAGTGAGTGCAAAGCAAAGAGACGAAAGGGGGAAGGCAGTGCTTGGCGGGGTGCAGGTCCAAGCCCAACGTAGGTGAGCATGTGAAGTGTGCAACTCCAGAAAGTTGTACTTTTTCGGAGTCTTCGGGGATGGGCCTCTTGCTGTGCCTGACGCCTGCTGGAAATCGGCTTGGACCAGGACGGGAGTGTTCGCGCGGTTCTCGAAGGGGCGGGGAGTGAGAGCCACAGAGACAGAGAGAGCGAGGGAATAGGCATAACGGGAAACAGTGAGAGAGGGATCAGTTTCCGCGAAGCCTGCCTGTGGAAGACAGGTATAGACAGAACGGGTTTCTGCCGGTCATCCACAGGCTTTCGTAGGTCAGGCATCCTGCCTGCCTCAATCGGTCACGCGCGAAGGATGCCTGCAGGCTTCATGGTGCTCGCGTGCTGACAGAAAGGAAGAAGGAAGGCTATCTTCAACCCTTACATTTCCTTAAAGGGTGGACGCAGAAGAGCTTCCACATCTTTCCTCACCGTTACATTCACACGTCTCTGCTCAGACGGAGAGCGGTGCTGAGTGTTCCGAAATTTGTAGTATCCCAGGAGTAATCTGATCCCGACCTCCTTTGCGGAAACCTACTCGCTGTGCGGCTCCGATGCTGGGACATGAAAGACATTGAAGTCGGCTTTGAGTCATAGCAGGGTTCTGAATGTTCTGGCACAAGGGGCCTTGCGGCATGTTGCAGCACTCAGATTTGATGTTTCCGCTTGCGATGCACTGTTGAGTGGCTCCGTTGAGTCTGAGAAGACCCACCACCTCCAACTCTGCATCTGCAGTCAAGCTCTGGCACAACTCTTCAGCCCAAAGTAACAAAGCAAGGACTTGGTGGGGAGCGTCAAGTCTTCGAGGGGAGCTGCGTCGATGTTCTGCGAGCATCCAGCATGCACGTGGAGCCCTGTGGAGCAAAAGTCCGATAAACAGAGCCACTTGCAGCCCTGCTCTGCAGGTATGCGAAGGATTTCGTTGCGGCAATGCAGAAGACTGAGTCAAAGCACGCGGACGAGGACAGGCTGCCTGCCAAAGCGCATCCCAAGGCCCCTTAGGCATCAAGGACAAGTCGCGAGTAAAAGAAGTAAACTCTTGGGAATGGCTCCGGAACGCGAGCCGAAGGCATGCCTGTACTTTTGAAAGGTGCAGGGAACTGCGCCAATTCGTCGGACGTGCATCAAGTCCGATGTCACGTCAACCTTTCCAAATGCTGCCGGTCAGCTTTGCCAGGACCAGATACTTCAAGGAGAGAACTGCTGCAAGCAGAACCATCAGTTCCAGGCGGGGCGTGCGTGCGTTTGTGTTGCAAGTGTGTGCGTGCGCACGCGCATGCTGCGGGCGCGTTCCCGGGTAGCGTGCTCGTGTCAGCTCAAGCTTGCAATTGAAAGGCCCTCTACCCTGACCCGAAGAAGCTTTTCAGCAATATCATCGTCTATGCAGCGGAGTCGCCGAGTCCGAAAAAGGACACTGTGCACCGCTGGTTATGTTCTCGTGTTTTTGCAAGTCGTTATCGAACTGTTCCGGTGTATCTGCTTTTGCCACTTTTGCTCTGTCCATCGCCGTCAACGGGCTGGTTGCAAATCTGCGAAACAAGGGCTGCCATATCATTTGCCCCGCAACTGTGTACAGGTGCTGTGAGGTTTTCCGTTGCATGTCGAAAGGTGCACAGAAAGGAATATAATGAATCCTCCTACACGGGGTATTAGGTATGGGGTCGCAGACGCTATCTCTCACGAGGACGAGGACGACCTGCTGGAGCTGGGCGATGACATCGCAGCTGCAACAAAGCGTGAGTACCACAAGACGGCATCGTCTGGCTCTTTGGTACTGAGCCGACTGACTTCTGAAAGTTACTCAGCTGCAGATGTCCTAATGCGTTCTTCCGTGATTCTGAACTCTAATAGGCGGCCATTGTTTGTGAGGCTCCACTCTCACGAATGGCAGTGGTGCCCTTCATCCACGAGTAGAATCTACAGAGGATCCAGGACGGTTGTAAGGCGAAGAAAGCCCGGACTGTGTCGAAAACATTGTCGCTACATCGTGTACCGTCGTCCTGGCGAAATCTTTGCCAGAGCTCCTCCCGGAGCCAAGACCCAGCCCTGTATTCCGGTGCACAATGGCTTCCGAATCTTCCGAAGAGTTTGAAGTAGTGCGCACGTTCGCACCGAGATGCTCTCGCCAGGACTCCAGGACTTTGTGGAGGCTGTGTTGCACAAAGGCCTCGATGCAGAGCAGTCGACCCTGCAGATTTATGTCTCGGGGGTCTGAGCCAGATTAGCGCATTATCTGCACGCGTGATGTGTGGCAGCTTGTGGCAAGGCCATTCCGCATGACTCGTGTTGCCAGGTTGCCTCATCAGCTCGAGAAGCATATTCCGGAGCTGCACCCTGTTTGGAGCCCGCATGCCGTCTTCGAACAGGCAGGGCAAATTGCACGGTGTGACGACAAATTTCCTTTCGGACTTGCTACGAACATGTCCAGCAGCAATGCTTGTCAGATTCTTGTCCGTGAGCTTCGCCCCGCAAGGGTTGTCTTCGAGCCTGAAGTGTGCAAACTTGACTGACTCTGGCTTCCCCCAGTGGCCGCAGTGGAAACAGCACCTCCTGCGCGAGATTAGTCCCAAAAGCAGACTCCTCCCACGAGGCGGGTGAGAGGGAGAGAAGCTCATCTTCCTGCATCAGCGTCGCTCGGCATTGGGGCTCTCGCAACGGTCGAAGCATGATCCAAGCTGTGGGCAAAGCTGGCTAAGCCGTAGACGATTTTAGGACGATTAATGAGGTTCGATAGGTTGCCATGGCCACTCACAAGGTTCTTGCGCTTGTGAAGAATCGCTACGACATCTTCACAGAGCCCCAGGGCAAGACGTTTGCCTGCAGAAATGCTCTGTGGCTTCAGCGTCCTCACCGCATGCAAACTCTGAGCATAGACCTGCCTGAGCTTTTTGAACGAGACCCTGCGTGACTCACCTGTGTCCGGGTACTGCACCACGAAGAGGCCGAAAACAGAGCCTATTGTCCAGCCTTGTAGAGAACGAGTTTACGGCTCAACCCACGCTCATCTGCACACATGTGGCATTGTGGGCAGCCTGGAAGCAAGGAATGTGAAGCTGAAGCAGTCCCAATGGGACGAGCTTCAAGAACTCGTGCACTGGATTGCGGCTCTGACTGCATGTCAGCCTTCCTCTTCCGATGTTTTGACATGATGCGATACCGCATGCGGAGCTATCCATGGTGCTGTTGCTTGTGAACATGAGGCTCGCATTTGGGTGTTCGATGATTGACACCACTTGTAGCTACATACAAGGAGCCTGATTCGCAGCAGCTGCAAGCCGTGCTGGCATGGAGCTCAGCTTGGCAAGTTCAAGATCTTGAGATCCGTTTTTGCGCACACCAGCTGGTGCCCGTCTTGAATGTGCATGTGCCGAAGCAAGATGTATCTACAGCATCCATGTCTGTTGTCCGCCATGTAACCGACGACAACTACGCAGCCAAAACAATCATCGCAAATGCTTTGTGCAGTCTCATTGGCTTCAGGTGCTTCTGGCCATAAGGGCGCTGGGCAAGTCCAAAGCGACCTGCCTGACATCAACACTTGGGGTTCGGTGGGCTGATATGGGCTGATATTCTGTCATTTCTGCCTTTCGCCTTTGGCCAAAGCCCCAAGACAGCATCTGAGAGGCGAGACCGTTCTGCTCACATGACTAGGCGTGCTGAACAAAGCAGGCAATGTAGGCGTAGCTCGAGCTTGTGTGGCGATCAGTCTACATGGTTATCTCTGGTCAGAGGACATGGGCTTACACTTGAGTGTGAGAGAACCTTTCAGCCGCCAGCTTCCCTCAGCCTTGAAAGGCAGCCCTCCAGCAGCTTCCAGTCGAGAGCCGACGCCCGGAGAGGGCGGTAGTACACGTGATGAATGGCAACTGGGCTGAGCGTTGAAACAAGATTCAGACCATTATTCGCTTTAGGCCTGCGCGTCGGCATTGAGTCGATCGTGCGATCTGCTGTTGGTGCTTTACAATTCATCAGCTTCTGGGTTGTCTCCTTTGTTGAATGCTTGACACGTTCCTGATGCGACACTGACAGGCTACGAGAATGTAGTGCCATCGGTGAAGTGGCTGACTCAAAGGAGCCAGGCCTATGTGGAGGACGGGCTTTGATCTCATCTGGGAGCGGTGTCGTGCAAACGACTAGCCGCGCATGCATGTTCTCCTGCTGCTGCACTGTGGCAGCAGTCCTTTTTGGACGAACCCGGCCATCTAGATGAGGAGTATCAGGATGGCGGTGATGATAACAGCAACTTGCGCAGGAGGCGCTTTTGACTCACGAGCTCTTCAACGTGGCGCACTCTGTCTAATTGTTCTAGGGAGCATGTCGCGCAACGCCGTCTGGCTTTCACATCCTGAATGCGCCTGCTCTGTGTATCTGCGCGGCTGCTGCCGTGTTGCCTCTCGCTGAGATCTGCATATCCAAGGCAGATGTTGCAAGGAGAGAACTGCCCGGCGAACGTGAAGCAACTCCGCGAGCACATCGAGCTGAAAGGCACGAGGGTTGTTCCACTTCCTACTGTAGAACTTCCCAGCCTGACGAATCACCCATTCTCGCCACAGGGTGCCTGGCTGGTCCCTCATGCTGTATTCATGACAGGTGATGCAGTGTTCCGATTCTACATCTTGTTCCTGCTGGGCTTCATGAGCGGTCTTGCTGCTGGCAATGGTTCCCGCTTTATGAATGCAAAGAATGCTGATTCTACGATTGGTGGCATTCGTCACCTGGCAATGACCAGCATGAGCCCAGCTGTAGCTGGTTGAATGTGCGAGTGCATGCAGTTCGGCACTGTTGTGTCGCATGGCCACGCGCACACCCGTTTTTTGTTGACTGCCTCTGGCAGTGTTCTTCTTCACACATCCTGTTTTTGTACGCAACATTCTGCAGATCCGGTCCGACAAGGAATGCTTCAGCGGCTCATGAATGTAAACCCCACCAGCATCTACTGGGGGTACATGGGCCTTCGTGCGGCGAAGCTGAAACTGCCCTTCGACACTCCAGAGGACGGGCAGCACTATGCAACACCGAACATGTTGTTTTCAAGATTGTGCTCGATTGCGACGATGATTCTGGTTCAAGTCGGTGATTCGAGGGCAGCTGCTGTCAGTCTGTGGTCTCATTCTCTGCTGCTGTGATCCTGCCGTTGATGCCTTATGCAAGACCAGGCACGAAAAATCGGATGCCTTGTCTCTGCTGACGACAATTTAATTTGATGATATTCCTGGCACGGCAGAGAGAGAGAGAGAGAGACCACGAAACGAGGGGGTCAAACCTCTTGCCCATAGCCCTGGCGAAAGAAAGAAAGACCACGTTTCGCAAGAATTGCAACTCTACATGGTAGCTCTGCTGCGAAGACGTTTGTCGTGGCAGTTACCGGGCACATGCTGCAGTGCTCCTGTAGAGACCTTCCAAGTTGCGGACGCTCAGCCGCAGGACATGGTCCTTGTACGATTGGCATGCGATTTGGACGCACTAACTACCGGTCAAGATTGCCCCCGACACTGGCAACCTGGGTTCCAGCAACATTAGTGTTGCAATTCCTGTTGCGTCTTGGGGCAATGCTTCGGTTGATGCAAAGCCGACCCACGGCAACAACGGTACTACCACATAGCAGGCCCTACTACCTTCGTAACTAGCGACTGAGGTCTGGCGCGGATTCAGGATGATCGCGGGTACCAGACACTGAAGAACTCGTGGCGAGCCCCTCGCCGCAGTCACGCCCATACGTACGTAGACTAGAACGAATATTGTTTGGGGCATGCTCCGTATGAGTCAGTGCAAGAGCCAAGTCTAAGTGGTCACCAGGTGCTTCCTCCATAACAAGATTGTCAGAGCTTGGATTGTGTTTCTAAGGCTCTTGGAGCACGCGAGCGCACCTCTTTAACCGATCACTTCTTGGCGGATGGCATCGAGGACCGCTGCGCACGCCTCAAGCAGCAGTGGCTACAGTCAGCCGCCCATTTTTAAATTGGGAATCGAGGCTTGAAGGCAGCAGTAAAGTGTCGACGCGGAGAACTGTTGCACCTGACCAGGAGCCAGCATGGGTGTTTGAGTTCTTGCCGAACTGCGTGGCTAATGCGCAGGCCATATGCTGAGTCGGGCAGCCGATGCTGAAAGGCATGGCCAGTGCGCATGTTCATGCTAGGCTAACCCCGTGGTCGGCCTGACGGCCCTTCTGGACGTTCCCGGGCAGAACTGGCCACTAAGGGTAAAACTGGAACGTCCTTCGGTCTAGCTCTTGGTCGCCTTGGCTGCGAGGTTCTGACAGACTTGTTGTACAACCTTCGCTCCCTCGACAAGTCAGGAAAGCCCTCGGCGCCTTGCAAAGATGTGCTTTGTGAGCCCTGCCAGGCCTCCGTTGCAACAGAGCGACCAAGTTTTCGTGCAGAGGTGATGCTCGTGGACCTGTCTGACATGGGCGAGTTCATTGCTGCAGTGCAAAACCGCTTTGCAGCTCAACTCGTTGTTAACTCCCCTTGCAGCGTGCAGGCTTCAGGTTTTTAGTCAGCGTCCACTAGTCTAGTCCGTGAATAATACCTGGACTGGCTGTTAGCCGCGAGGCCAGAGCAACCTAGTGAAGAGTGGCAGGTTGCAAATGCATGCAGTAATGCAGTTAAACCGTGCCAGTTGCACTGCGGAGCTTAACTGGGCGGTCGAACTGTTTGCTGTGCAAGCGGTTACAAAATGTGACACCAGCTTATTTGCTAAGGTGCATGTCTTTTTCGCTGTTCAGCTGTCGCAGTCTTTGGGGCTCCAGTCGTGGTTTCATTTACTGCGAGGTGTTGTTCCGATGCAGCTTTACGTAATCTATATGATGGGCATTCCGGTCAGTCGTCGCAAGGTATATAGTAAGCTCCGGACCAGAGGGCACCTCACGTTTCACTAGTCAAGAGCAAGCGCAAAGCAGCCACACTATTTATGAGTTGGGGCAAGGATGCTGAGCGTGGAACGACTGTGGATTTTCAAATCGGGTTGAACGCGCACATTTTGGAAAGGGTGTTTTGCAACAGAGCTTTGACATCTGGAACCACGGGGCAGGCTTTTGGTCGATGCAATCGTGCCCACCGGGTTGCAGTCGCCATAGACTCTGTAGTCTTTCATGATATCTGAAATTCGAAGGCAGGGTTCTACATGATGCTGCAGAAACACATGCTGCAAGGTATTCTTGACGTGCATCTCCAGATCTCAACTCAGCATTGAGAAATCGCGCCTTGGTTGAATACTTACAGTTACAAGTTGCCACATGGACTTGGTGTGCTGCCTTGCCTGACAATATCCCGGCGCCCACTGACTTACTCATTCCTCGACAGTCAGACCAGCAGAAGAGTAATCCTGCTGAGATAGCATCGCTCGGAACAACATGCCGGCACGTGAGAATCAGCTCAGGAGGGTTCGCGTCGAAATGTCTGGTGGCAACTTGTCCTGGCCTGTCTTATCTTACCCTGCGCTATAGGTGGTGTTGAGCTTAAAGTTCAGAGCCAACAGTAGGGATGCAGCCTGCAGTGAAGACCTAGTTAGCATTTTTCTACCGGATTAACCTGGCAAGAAAAAGATGATCAATGCTTCTAGTTCTGATGTAAAGGGCTGCTTCATGTTGTGAATCCTTGTGGCTACTCTCAGTGACTCGGACCCGGTGCCGGATCAGGAAACTGGGGAAGAACCACAGATCCTGACACCGATCTTACAAGCATTGCGTACACGCTGCAGGACGCGCAAGTAACTCATGAAATGGCCCCGTGTCAGCAACACTTTGACCCACGATGTGCTGCGCATCACAGACTGAGCGTTGAGTAGGCAGCAATGTGACTGAAACAACAAGACGTGGCTATGTTGGTTGGGTGTGTAGTCGTTCGCAGGACTTGGTGCAAAAGCAGCAGTTTGTCGAGGACTTGCTGCAAGGATTACTTAATGCGGTTGCAGTGCATCATAGTGCCGGCGAAGGGGCACAGGACTTGTCAGGAAAGTCGTGCAGCGAAAGCTTGACCGGAGCAGCTGGCAGCATGAGAGTTGACACAACATTTCCAGAGTGCATCATGATGACTTCTGGTGCTTCATTCGTTGTGTGCACGATGAACATTGCGAAGGAGCGCCTTTCGCATCTTGGACATGTTATGCTCCTTGCACCAGTGCACGTCCTTGTTCACGACAGCGCGTGGGCCGGCCTAGCATTCGTGTTGTTTGCTACACACGAGCAGTACTCTGGACTCCACTGCGCAGGCAATGAGTCACGCTGGAGACGCGTTAAGCGCTTGGGTAGTGGCTGGGCCTCCGAGAAGAGCGGGCAATTGATGGAAAGGGACAGAAGACTACTCGAGAGCTGTGTGCGCATCACGCATCCCCTTTACAGAAACATGACACGACATACTCACACCTACGCCTGACACTTACACTGCGCCATGAAAATAGCTCTTGAGTTTCGCAGCAACATCTCAGTCACTTGAACCAAACCTCCAGGAAAGCCGGAGAGTTGGTGGTGTGCATGGTAGTGTGATGACAGCAGCTCATGCCATGCTTGTTGCGAGTGCTAGATAGTCCTCACTCTCTTAGCTGGCAAATGGGCTTTTCGCATGGCTGCTGTTCTGGTACCATCTGACCTCCCCGGTCGCAAGTCAGCTGCAAACAGTTGATTTGCTTCTTTCCTACTCAGCATATGGATCCTCGTCTGAGTATAGTATCAAGCATCTTGTTTTGGCGTCCAACTAGGCACACACACACACACAAAGAGAGCCTTCAAGTTCAGCACTGACTGATGCAGTTTGGAGTTGACGGCTCAAGTCACCACGCAGCTTCCGCATGAAGATCTTAGGTCGAAGAAAGACTGTCCAGCGGAGTTGTAATGAAGCGGAGGCTGAGAAGACAAGCCTGGATGACGAGGAAACATACTGCACACGCTGACTGGTCCTCATTTAGTGAGGCAGACGCCACTTTCAGCAAATAAACAAGAGATTGTGGGCCCAGTCCAGAGCCTGTATCAGATTGTAGGCAATGCTGGTCTGGGCTTCATGCTAACAGTCAGCGGGCGGTTGACACACGTGACTCCTGCAGACCACACCCGCACCCAGCAAAGATCGAAAGCAGTACTTGAGGTTTCGCCCAACATAATCTTGCAACTGTCCATCATCCAGGACCACTCGAGGGGACGATTCTCGGATCAAGAGTGCACTACAACTGCAAACCCACAGCTGCAGCAGGCCGGTAGGAAAACAAGTGCACTACAACAGCACCCAAACGCCAAAACAGCCGCCTTAGCATGCTGCACTACTCTTGCAGGCGCTTCCCATATTGACTGGGTGTGCAGTTGCAGTCCTTTCCACTCGCAAGGGAATTCTCGCACTGACGTCCGGCCAGGACCCCACTCGGGAGGCGCTGCCTGCACTCTTACAATATATATATATATATATATATATATATATCTTTTAAATGTAATATCTATAACAGTCGACTATACCCTGTTGTGCTTGTACGAGAGTACACTCGGGGACGATTCCGGTGCTTCACTCGTATTGTTTTTGTTAAGCTAGAACACGGAGAGCATCGTCTCTCGTGGACACCTTGAACCTCGCCCGGGAACGTAGGAATCAGCTGTATCCCCATAATTGAGAGCGACATACATCGCACATCACGGCAACACACTCCCCGTCGTGGCGGTTCCATGTAGCTCTGCAAGTGGCTGTCTGGAGCAGTGAAGAACGATCAGAGCTTTTGAAATGTTTCACAAGAGTCGAGGCTTCTTGGCGCAGGTGCGTGCGATAGTTTTATTCAGGCAGAGGCCCACTGCGAGGCACAGCTGCGCATCCTGCTAAACATTGCTAAACTGTTAAAACTTTTCTTTAGCAGAGCCCATTGGCTCAGGAAGCCTCGTGGCATCAGTTTTCGAACGGTAGGTAGTTCTTCAGGGGACTAGTCGAACGCTGCCGACCCATGCACATGTTGTGGGCCACCTGGACAACGGGAGTATGTAAGCATTTATGAACTGTTGAACCGCTGTCCAGATTTACAGACTCCTGTTTCCTTCACACTTCGGATCCCTGGCTGTGAATAACCCGGCTTGGCAGCTGCACCCCGAGTCAGAAAAATAAGCCGACTGCACGCGGAGCTGCACACCACAAGCACAGAGTTTTGTCGTGAAGATCGGAGGCCTTGCTTCGGAGCGCCAGTCTGCGGCGGCAAAAAATGCGGGGAGACGATCCACGCGGAGGAGGAAGCCAGTGGAAACCAGCGGAATCGGACAGAAGAAGCCGGACGGTCGGACATCTTGTCAGCGATGTCTAGCGACGACACGCCTGTCCTACTTACATCATCTTACATCTACGAATCTACTTGCGACTGTGTAAGCGGTGATCACGAAATATCACTGTTGCCTGTCAGTTTAGGCTCATGTCAGAGCATCTCGGCCGCCCGCTAACCTACCGGCCAGCGCTCTCTTGTCGACTCTTGCCGACAGGAGACGTTCGATGGCAAAGGCCCCAGCTTGGAGGGTGCCTCAATGTGGCCCACCTCGATCTGAGACACGTCGGCAACCATCACCATTCTGCGCCCATCAATGGCGGTACCAGAAGTTGCCCCATGTCATGCCAGTGCACATCCAGTGTACTGCGTAGCAGACGGCCGCAGATACTAGTTACTAGTAACACTAGTACCACAGAATGATATGCCGTGCATAGTCAAGATTTGCATGTGCATGCATGTGTGTTTGCATGCACGCTTGCATTGTGCAAACATGTTATGCACTTCCGATGTGTTTGTTGTGACAAAACGGTGGAAAAGACTCAATAGCTCCCAACCTGACCTCTGACTGCTCCGGCCGGGGCCGAGGCGAAACGCACACATTGGGTCTGAGCGTCCCGTCTGTCGGAGTGTTTTGTGCGTAGTACGGGCTTTCGCAATGTAGGAAATTTTCCCCAACTGCATCATCATCCCTCTGTCTGCAAGTAAGATGTTAGCAGAAAATGAATCACGAGGTCCAAGACGCAGGCTTAATGGGTCAGGTCTGGCGCTGCCCGATGGAACACGGGCGGAATGAACCTTAGAGTGGCGTGAACGACGAAGCACATGCTGTGGCCCGATGGCAGAGGTTGGGTAAAGCTGGCTGGGGAGACTGGTTGGATCTGCCAGGCAGGCGTGCGATGCTTGTTGGCAGGGGTCTGCTTGGATCCAGGAAAGCTTTAGTGTGACACTCGCGACTCGTGAGCCTGCATGTGACTGCAAAGACTCGAATTCGGCCCTAGGTAGGCCATTCCACGCCAGTCCGAGAAGTGATGGCGGGTGGAGCCGAGTTCGCCTGCAGGTTGATGAGGAAGTCGGTGCCAGCAAGAAGTGCCTGCAGGCCCTGTTTCAGGGATGCTTCCGCTTCGTAGCTTCAGGTTACACAAATCGAGGCTTGCAGAAACCCAACACTCTCCCGGTGCAGGCCGTGGAAAAGCCACGAGCTCTGTGCTCAGAGATGGAATGCTGTAGCTGCTGTGGAATGCGAGAGGCACGGGCACGGGCAGCAGGCATCCGCATCTTCAGGCCATGGCCGTGGAAAGCCTTGCAAAGACACCCGGGCGCCAGATGCTTGAGGCAGATCCGCACGTGAGGTGGTCTGAGTCCAGAGTTTCATCATGTTTCATCAAAGTGAGTCTCAGGTGGTGGCAGACGATGGTGTTGATCTTCTGCGGGTGCTGCAGCAAGTAAGATAGATCTGCAAAGCTCGAAAATCTGTAGTCATTCTGCTGCACGGTTGAAAGCACAAGAGGACTGGCAGCGCATCAGTTTCACTCCGCCGCGCTGAAGCCCAGGAGCCATATGATGGTGCGTTGCTGCTGGGGAGGAGGCTGCTGCTTTGAGCGTCCAGATGCTGTGCCTTTTACGTCTACTCTGAGGCAGGTGATACATAAGCGACTGCTGAACAGAAGTGAAGTCTTAGCCGTCTTATCGTTTTCCAGGAGTTTTGGTGAATTCCTGCTGGCAGACTCGCAGTCGTCCATTGCTCAGTTAGTTTATCCCGACCACCGACTATGTTCTGTCCCGTGCTACCTCAAGCATCGCATGCCTACATAAAGAAAAGCCCAACACATATCAGTACATAATATGTAAAAAAATAGATGACCGATAGATCTATAATCTGTATGTGTTAATATTCACACACACACACACTTACACTTACTTCTGCCAGGTCAGCTTATGAGTTAAGCATGGTGAGCACGTGACACGAGACGTATCTCAGATTGTCCACGCAGGAGCCGCTTCCCTGCAGATTGAGCCAAGAGTCCGGAAGCAGGATACCCTGCCAGCAAAATCGGTAGGCGAAATTTACTCAGGTACCACGGCTGGGTCCGTTTGTCAGATGATGATGGCTGGGCTCAGGCCGTTGCTGGAGATGCCCGGACAGCTTCTGTAAGAGCTGCAAAGTTGAGTCTTCCATGGTGAAAGGCAGTCAGTGGCTCCGGCGAGAAGCTGCTCGTCGGGGTGGGGCCGTGAGAACTCTCTGCTGAGGGTCTCTCTCTCTCACACTCAGCGCAACTCCCACCCTCGACCTCAAAACTCACTCCACTTGTGTGCATCTCACATGGAGCCAGTCCAGCTTTGCCAGATTCGACCCGACGAGCTGCAGTTGACGCAATCTGTCGGGCAGGCCAGTCAGAGCGATGACCATCCAGTCGAGAAGGCAGTGTCTCCAGCTGAGGCGGTTCCAGAAGATGCGCAGAAGGAGCAGCTGGCTGCCGCAGCAGAGGAGGCCAACACGCCGTTGTGTGTGTGCGATCTCGCTTTAGTGGCCCTTCCCTTCTGCCAACCTCCACACGAAAAGTCAGTGGGACCAGGAAGGCTAGGAACTGCGAAGCCGGCCCAGTCAGTCCTGCACGGGGGTCTGGCCCTCAGACAGCAGCAGCAGCCACAACCACAAGCCAAACGGCAACGGCAACGGTGACGACGACATGCAACCAATCAGCACGAATAACAACTCGACGAGGAAGATGAGTAAGAATTAACACAGCAAAACAGCGGGTCTGAAAGAGACCTGCAGGCCTGCGGGGGTACTAAGAAGGTCATCACGGAGCCGCGGTACAGATATCACACATCCCCGTCCGTGCAGCACGGGTGATGTCGTCACGATGGTCTTCAGGCGGCCCGGAAAGAGGCAGCACGCCAGCTGGAGGCAGGTCGATGTATCTACGAATCTACACAGCTCCGCTCGGATGTGGGGAGTTCTGGAAGGGTATGAGGCTCGAGCATGGCACATGAGGCAGCAGCTTTGTCTGGAAATTCTGCCTTCTTTTGCTGTGGTCTCAGAAAGCTTGCGTGACCTTCCAGTGCGTCTTAAGATAAGCTTGCAGCTGGCACTACCCGCATGCTGCCGTAGCCACGAAGCTGAGGCGCAGCGCTTGAGGTAGCGCGGCAGAAGGGAGTGTCGAAAAAGGCCGAGTCATGAAGCTTCATTGACAAAGATGTGCTTGTTAGTACTCAGTTTGGCCAAGCTAAAATGCCACGCAGCCAACACCGACCCCGTTTCACGCAGGACATCGCGAGGGCCAATGCCATGCGTGCGACTCGGTTCGGGATGCGTGGTTTTCGCTTGCACAACGGTAGCAGCAACAATTCCGATCCACGCATTCGTCGTTCGCCTTAATCGCAAATGCATGACATGCGTTTGCAAGACATTGTTGAGTGAGCACAAGTACAATGAGGCGAAGGGTTCTTTCCCACAGTCGCAGAATTAGGACTTCTTGAGTCTCCAGGCGCTCCTGAGCGTTCCCGATTCGAAGCAAGTTTGAAGAAGTTGCGGGAGCCTCTGCACATGGTCGGGAGTTGCAGTATATAGATCAGGAGAAGTCTTGCAGGGCTTGTTTGCGTGCGGTTCCGCCAGAAGAAGACAGGCCAACAGTCTCAAAGGCCACTCCTGTCTCAGGATTCGATGGACTTCACCTTCCTGGCCCGTCCAAATGGTTAGAGTGAGCAGTCTGACGGACACTGGGCCACCAGTATTGGCGCTTCTGAAAACAAAGGGTTCGGCTTTGCATCGCGAGCTTGGGGAGCGGTGGTAGCGTGTACGCAAGGGACCTATAACTGTCAGCGCAACGAAGGCCAAAGAGGCAGAGCCACTGTTGTTTTGATGTTGGGCTCGTTCAGATTTCGTTCGTTCTCGTCATGTCCGGACAGCTGTCCCGCTTCATGTCTCCTTGCTCCGTTGGCTCGAGACGCTTACTGGGTGTTGAGGTGTGGGAAACCTCCGAGGCTGGATCCGGTGTATATGGCTTGACAGTTTGTATGTGTTTGACACCAGATAATATCACACATTGTATGGCGCGATATGAGACAACAGTAGAAGTATATAAGGTTATGTAAGAGCATGTAATGCCTTACTTTGTTGTTGCCGTAGATAAACGATAAATACTCAGAAATAATGATGGACAGTGTGTTTGCGTGGGGCCTGTTTTTCTCAAGCAAGCAAGCCTTTCACGTGTTGTTCCTACCGCTTATGTGTTTTGTGCCGATACGAAGTATGTTCATGTCGCAGGTCGTGAACAGACTAGTTAATGATGCTTCATGTCATGAAATATCGCGGCATTGTTCCGGTGTACGATCACATCGCTAAGATGTGTATTCCAGCCACCCGCTTACCGTGAAGATGTTACACAAGCTGTCGTAAGGACAGAAAAACCAGAAAGCAATCGAACATGCCGACAAGCATGCAAAATGAAGGGGGGCCGGGCGGGGGGGTGGGAAATGAACGGAAAAAGCAGGTAGGTCAAAAACTTTCGAGCTGGGAGGATAAGGTGGAGGGCATTTGAGCTAACCCCCGACTCCTCGGCATGGAGGAAACCTTTCGACGGAGCGTTTCAGCATATGGCTGCCCGGGCCGAAGAATCACAACAAAAAAATCCGATTCGTATGGAATAGCCCTCAAAACGCCCCACAACAGTCCGAATCTCTTTTGTAGGCACCTCGGATTCTCTACCAAGGTAGAAGAAGAGGAATGCAATTCCCCCAATCTTGAGACGCCGAAATGCGCACGAAGTCGTCCGCGCACGGATCCCTAAGCAAAAACAAATTGAAATCCAATTTCACGGCTTTGGAAGTAAGTCCTGGTTGCCTTTCACCTTCACCGGCCGACTTCCCAAGCCCGGATGCAAAACAAAGTCCTGAAAGCGATGTTGTCGAGGTCGCGGACCTGATAGGGAACAGAACGGTAGATCCACGAGGGGGGATGTACACATATAAGATGGTTTAGTATTATATATATATATATGTATGTATGTATGTATGTATGTATGTATGTATATACGGGAAGGCATGCCGAATGGATATTGTCCCATGCCATGTCCTGGATACACATGAAACCAGATTCTGGGCTGACACTGCAAAAGTGCCAGATGACTGGAGTGCGAGCTGGTACTTTGAGCTGACTGTGAGGGAACCTGCATGCGATGGGTCCGAGGTGACTGTAGAGGGTTCTGTTAACGCGCCCGCCTGGTTAATACACCGGGCATGCTGATCGTTGCTATCGGCTTAACGTGATTGCCTGGTTAATGCACCGGGAATGTTGAGTTATTTCTGAAGTTTCTCCTCTTGCAGAGTGCGAGTGACAAAATTGTATTGTATTTGTATATACATGTATATGTATGTATATCTGTTTCTAGACTTATAGATTGTTAAGACTAATATTGGATTATGCACTATCGACAACATATTCAGTTGTCGCATCTTAGTTCGCACTATAGACAACATGTTCAGTTTTCGCATCTTAGTTCCGATGTTCTAGTTTTGAAACTATATGCCAAGTTGTACTACAGTTCTTTGTGCATTCCTAAGGTTGCACATATTTTTCTTTAGGGTGCATCATATGTTTGGCTGTGTTCTACGAGAGTATATGTTCAGAAAGTGTACACATATTGTGACTGGGCCGCAAGCTTGAAGGCAGAGGTGCGTGCTTGGCATATGTCGGTATTGCCTGCTGCTTGAGGGGCGGCTTGCTGTTTCGTTTTCGCGCGAGGCCTGAAGGGATGCACATGTTTGTGGATTATCATACTGCCTATGGGATATAGCCGAAACGAATGTAGCTTTGCGGGAGCCAGTCCTCCGATGTATATATATATATATATACATGTATAGAAGAATGGGGTAGAATAGATTATTAATGGGCTGCTTATGTCAGAACATCTCAACATGCGTCGGTATGTAGTCCCACGCATGTCCACGCATCTCTTCCTCTGGGTTGGTTGTAGCCGCGAGACATCGGCTCCGATGCAAGTTTCGTTTTGCCAGGTGAATGGCTGCCACGATGGATCCAGTAGCCAGCCCAGCCAGTATGAAGCTGCCGATCAACTCGTTGTTTCTGTGACCGTAGATTGCAACAACTTTGCCTTGGATTCTGGCCCCTGGCTTTTCTTTTGGAGGTCATGGCCCTCATGGGCTGGAATAGCGAGCCACTGCTGTTGCGGGCCCAGCGCAGCAGGTCCTCTTTGGAGTTCAGACTTCATTGCCCCTGGCGACGAAAGGGCGGCTCCTCTCGTCAGGTCTTTTCCGGTTGAGGTTAATCTGGAAGGTTTAAGCTCTGATCGGAAAATCCAAGAGGCACTCCCAAGTGGAGGAGGCAACGTAGTCGCCAGTAGCAACGGAGCTAAAACCTAGCGGACCCAGCATGCGGTGACGCTGGCATGCTTGGTAAGTGTGGGGACCTCGCAGCGTGCGAATCTGGACTTTGCTAAGCCGCTAGCCTTGGGCAACGGAGTCTTGGGCTGAGTTTCTTGGAACCTTCAGCCTCTAATGCAATGCGGGAAGATGAACAACCAGGCCAGACAAGGGAACAACCGTAAAACTAGCAAACAAACTTTCACCACAAGAGCAGCAAGAACAATATAAGGAACAGCAGCCGAAACCGGAGCGAGAAAGCTATTCACTGCAGCGACGAAGACGACGCGAGCAGGTGCAGCGGCAACCGTGACGACGACGACGATGATGAGAACGGCAGCAACAACGACAACAACAGCCTTTTTTGCGACAGTACTCCCGGGGCGGCGGCAGCAGCAACAAGTCAGAAAAAAGGAGACAAGCAATGCACCGTTCGGACGCATGTTCCCCGGTTCTCCGTACGTGCAACCGCGAACTCAGTATAACTGCGGCACTTTCGTTGGTTGAGGCAGCCGTTAACCATGATGCACTTGTTGTTAAGCGCACAGCACCACCGTTGCAATTTGATCCGGTTGATGCCAGTGCTGGGACTACAGCATGCTCAATGCTCCATGCTCACTCAACAGCCGAGTACACGAAACACTGGCGCTGACGGCGCAGTTTCTGCATATGTTTTTTTCGTGACTCTTGGATTTATGGCTATGTATTGATGCCAAGCACTCCCAACAAGAAGCAACAGCAAGACACAACAGGACGACATGCAACTAAGCCATATTGACAAGTACGAAACGACAACACATAACAAGCAAGAAGAGGCAGCACAACATCATCATGGTCATCATTAGCCCTTTTTTCGTCCCAAGGCTGCAGCGGCTGAAGTATCATGTAGCGGAGGCAGCCGCATCCTAAGACTGTGGTGCCGTTATTGTATCTATGGCAGGGCTGCTTCGGTCCATGAGGGCGCTTGAGAGTGCAATGGTTTTTGGATTGCCATACTCAGGTTCTCGAGATAAGTGCCATTGCTGCCACGCACCTACTCGGAAGTACCGACATGGTTGGTGACGCTAAAGACATGCATGTACATACATGCCTGCAATCCTGTAAATGAGGTGTGCATGTATTTGGCTTGCCAGCAGCTTCAGCCCACAGGACCGGCGCCAGTCAAAGGGGCTGGGAAACAAGCTCCTTTGGACCTGTTTTTTCCCGACAGGACTGTTCATCCGACTGCTGCTTGGCACGGAATGAGCGATGATACGTTTTAGCTGTGGTTGCAGAAACAGGAGTGGAGGCAATAGGGCTGACGGCACTTTGACTCTATGACGGCTTCAACCATCATGTCCTTATGCACCTACCCTTTTACATTTGTTGTCGGGTGCCCGTCTGCGTGCTTGTTTTCGCCTATACCTGTTTTCACTACGGTTGCTACCCTAGTTCTCCTGCGTTGTCCTGCTGCTTTGGCTGGTGTTTTTTGGGGTAGTGGTGACCTGGTGGGAGTCTTGTTGTTGGTAGCGGCAGACTGGGTGGTGGTAGCCGTGCTCGCAATACAGCAGATGTCTTTCTGGGCGAGGATGCCTCAAGGATTGGAGGAGACTCAACAGCGCCTTGGTCTGCGATGAGCCGACGACTGGCCAGGGCCAGACAAGCAAGAGCAACAGCTCCGGTCCAACACAGACGGATAGGCAGACAGACACGCAGAGAAGCCAATACATGCATGCGTGATCATGCGTGCACACGCACACTTCCACGCGCGCGCGCGCTCAGTTAGCACAGACAGCTCAAGATGCTGAATCAGCTTGCCTGTTTGCTGTTTGCTGTCCTTGGTGTTTACAATCTTGGTCTCAAAGAGGTCTTGACTCTCTTGACTATTGATGTGGCTGTGCGCTGTACTGCACCTCGCTGCAGCCTCGTCCCCAGGCTTTGCTTGCCTCTCGTGGCCTTGACCCCAGCATTCAGCGGCAGTGACTGCTGCTTAGTCATTGCAGCGGGAGAGAGAGAGAGAGAGAGAGAGAGAGAGAGAGAGTGATATTCTCGCGCCTCTCCAAAAACCCCATAACACATGGGGGGCCAATATTAATATGGCCGGGGGGCCTCAACAGCCCCTTACGCCCTGCGGAAGAAGAGAGAGATAGTTACATCATGTTACATCTAAGGACTCTCACTCGTAACCTTGTCAACGATTTCCTGCACCACAACAAATCGGGGAATACCCCTGATACCACGGCCCTGGAACGACCTCGAGTGACAGTCTGTCCTTACCTGAGGGGCTTGCTACATTGATGGTGTATCCTCTTCATTGGTCGAATTCCAGTTGCTGAGGGCCGTTAGCCCTGATGGCGCCTGACTGCCGTGAGTTTGCTTCACTCCGATCCTCCTCCGCAACGGTCGGGGGCGCACGTGCGCGCGGTGTGGGGGGTGAAGCCCCGGCACCGTAGCCTTGGCGAAAGAAAAAGAGAGTGACAGAGATAGATGCCCTCCACGCCCCGGAGCACCAGAGCAAAGCAAAGCAAAGATAGAGAGAGAGAGAGAGCGAGTGTGTTACTTAAACGATGCTGAGACGCAACACGAGGCCGGCCAGCTTGCCTGCTACAGCATAGTGGTCTCGACAAAGTAACACAAAGTCATCAGCCGCTGTCAGCTGAGACCACATTTGCCTGTCCCAGAGCTTTGCCAAACGCTAAACACAGCAACCTTCCCAACAGGGGGGCCGCCAGTCTTCTGGAATTGCACGGTTGTTGTTACAGTCTTGCTTCTCCACAAAGGCCCTCTGCTGACATTCCTAGTTTCTTAGTAGAGAGAGAGAGAGAGAGAGAGAGAGAGAGAGAGAGAGAGAGAGAGAGAGCGAAAGCGAGAGCGAAGCGGGGCAATCGGAGTAGGACCTCAACACAAGAGCACGCAACCGACCCACAGAGGGTGCATCACCTGTGTTTCGAGTGTACACGTTGACCCAGTTGCTTTGTACGGGGCGGTGGTGCTCAGTGAAGCCGTAGACACCCCGAAGCTGCACACAGGAGACTGCCGTACAGAACAGTCCACCGTGGAACATCCCGGCACGGCAGCGGGGCGGGAGCAACATAGTAGCATGGTTTGTTCCAACACTTATGGCAAGATGTTTTCAGTGTCAGTTGAAAACTCAGCTCCGCCCACGGGGTAACGAACACCAATCGCACGTAATACCGTGCGTACAACCAGCAGTCGGGCAGCTCCCGCGGAGGCTTGCCCTCAGGCCTGGGGAAAGAAAGAGAGAGAGAGAGAGAGAGACATATAGTAAAACACGCGAGTTGTAACCTTGCAGCCGTGGAGCGGCTAACGGATGCCCCTCAGCGTGTGGTCGCTAAGTTGGTGTTTTCTAGCGGTTGTCAGCACTGATTCTGTTGTTTGAGTGTTGATGGCAAATGGGGGACATATCACGCTGTACTTGCACTTGCACGTGTCAAACAGAATAGCTGAGGAACCCAGAAAATTTAGAGTCCAATATACTTTCCTTGCATTTCTGGGGGACTCGCTATCTTGTCACACCTCTCCATAAGCCCCATAACACATGGGGGGCCCAAGTGGCCGGGGGGCTTGACAGGCCCTCCAAGCCCTGCAGAAGAAGAGAGAGCGAGAGAGAGAGAGAGAGACAGCCAGGCGGGCAGGCAGACAGACAGAAAAACAGATGGACGGACGGACGGACAGAAAGAGACACAGAGAGAGAGAGAGAGACAGCGCGCGGAGGACTGCTCCCGCCTCAAACCCCGAGCAAAGCAAAGCGGGGTGGGGGCCTGAACGCTGCCCCTGCCTCCTACCCGGAAGAACGAGAGAGAGCCTTCTGGGGGCCTTAGAACTCTTTAAGCTTCATGGGACCGAGGACATGTCGGTTGCAGCCTGACGCATGTCACGTTCGCGCTTGTTTGTTTATGATCGTTCCCAGTGCCCCGTGGTGGCCCGTAAACCGGAGATCACGTTCGGGGCACCTGGACGTGTGCTGCCACGAGATTACCTCCTTGACTTTGACGTCATCGGTGGCAGCGGGCCCTTCATTTCTGAAGGGAGCGAATTATCTCCAGATGTTCTTAATTCAGGTGAACGCCCTGCCACTTTGGCAGGACACAGGTTGGGAAGGATGCCTTGATGGTTGTGTGTGCATGCTTGCGCTCGTTCCGCTTGCATGTGCTGTCTGCCTCATCCGATGCATCGGTTTTGGGCGTCGGCACTTCGCCGATGAATCTACCTGCTTTGTGCCTACACGATGCAGGTGGATAGGGGGACGTCGTTACACATGGAAGTTGCGTAGTTTCTTCTACGCCTCGCATGTGCAGGGATGGAAAACTGAGGCACAAGTTCTGTCAGTTTCGTTTTCTGAGGGCTCGCATTCCGATTACAAGGCCACTGTCGCCTTCATCCACAGAGCCTTCGCTGCAAGACTTATGCATGATTTCAGAAGAGCAAGTTTGACACGCACGCGCTGTGCGTTTGCGCCGCGTGGCCTCAACTCCTGCCTTAAGGGAGGAGGTGGAGGCGCGCGCAGAACCAGACGGAAGAGAGCCCAGAAGCACGCAGCTTCGGCTCCTGGTGCTGAGAGGCCTCCACGTGAGTCTGTGCAGACCAGTGTTCCGCTGCAAGAGGCGCGCTTGCTTGAAGACTTAAGGACGATGATTGCTACTGCGCACACCAGGCCTGGTAAGCTGCTTGCGGATGCCCAGGCTCTCCTTAAGATGCATGCCGGTTCGTTGGTGCCGAGCCTAGAACCGAAACCAGCCCGTACAGTGCAGCTCAAGCCTGACGCTGCTCCAGTTACTACCCGAATGCCTCCCGACCCTGACCCAGAGGAAGGCTGGCAGCCTGTGCGCCGTGGGCGCAAACCGAAACCTGCGCATGACACTGCGCCCACTGCGGGCCCTGCGCCCGTGAGCAGTCCAAGCCCGCAAAAGCAAGTGTCTGTGCCCAACAATGGCCCCAGACCTGCCTTGAACCTGGACCTCAGTGCTTGGTCTTCTCCCAAGACCATTCTGCCGTTTCAGACTGTGCTTGACGCCCTTCAGGCAGGCAAGCTTCCCCAGGGCTCGGCTACGGTTGTTAACAGTGCCGCAGGCGTGGATAAGCTCCAATCGCTTGCTCAGGCTCATGGCCTTGACGGCAAGTTTGCTTTGTTACTCAAGGCACCTGACTCTGGTCAGAAGCCCGAGCATGCCAAATCACTGAAACTTGCGTGTTGGGTGAGCAACCGCCGGGAGTTGACCAGCTGCTGGGCCATCCCGCTGTGTGGGGATCAGCTCCCTGCCCTCCCTCAGGCCATGCCGCGTACCACTTCTTTCTGCCCCCAAGATCGCGATTTGGTCACCCTCCGAATCACTGTGCCCAAGCCATGTGTTGAGGCTGCTGTGTGGCAGCAGTGGCATGGCACACCGTGGGCTGCCCTCAAGCAGTGGGCACCAGCCTTCCACTCAGCCAACGGTTTCAAAGAAACTCGCCTCGACGACGGCACTCTCCTGCTTGAGTGTTTCTTGAAAGTCGACCGCGCTGATGTCGACAAAGTCCTTGCTAAAAACGGCCAGGATGCTGTGTTTGCTGCCCGCCTGGCAAGCGAACAGGGTCGCAAATTGCCGGTTGAGTGGATTAGCACACAATCAGGTGAAGATGACCGCGCTTACTTCACCAGAGTGCGTAAGCAAGCTACTCAAGCGAAAGCTGGCATCGCCTTCCGTCGAGGCGGTGGTGCTTATCTAGGTTTGCGACATGAGGCCTCTGCTGCAAAGCCAACGTTGCACGCTTGGGAAGTTGCTAAGGTGCCCTGGACTTGGACTGAGGAGGACCTGACTCAATGTCTCCAGGGTGCTGGATGTTCGGATATCGCCATCCTGCGTCGCGGTGGAGGGCGTAAGAAATGGGTCGTCAAGTGCATTTTCCCAGATGCCGATGTTGGAGCCATCACTGAAATCCTCGCAGGGAAGACCTGCCTGGTGCTCACCAGGGCCCAAAGTCGCGCGCATGTCGGTACCTCTACTCCGTTGAAAGCCCATGCTGCTGCCGAACTCCGCGCGCCCACCACCCGTCCAGGTGGGTCAGTGAAGCAAGATAGTGTTGTCGTTGCGCCTGTTGCCAAAACCCCTAAGCCTGCTAAATCTCCTGCTAATGGTGATGAGGCTAGAGGTAGGAGTCGCTCTCGAGGTAAGAAAGACAAGTCCTCCAGTGCTCTCTGCGAGGAAATCGATTGTGGAGCTGAAGGGGCGTGTGGATTTCTTTGCTTGGCCGCAGCCCTAGGATTGCAAAACAATGGAAGCTGGGACAAGATCAGGGGCGAACTTGATGTACGCTCCCGCACTTTGCGTTCTGAGATCTTTACTTGGATTGGGCGGCATCGTAAAGATGTTGAGCCGCTGTGGGAGCAAGATGGCAAGGCCACTGAGGAGACCGAAGGCGGTGCCGTCCCTGACAGTTTCGACAGTTGGCACCAATGCATCCTCAGGCCCCGCAAATGGATTGATGCGTTATGCCTTTATGCCGCTTCCCGTAGACTTCGACTCCGCATAGTTGTTGTCATGGGGACAAAGGACGAGGTCAAAACTGGCCGTGGTGCCGTCACTGCTTTTGGCAGCCTGTCGGGCACACCCGTTTACCTTGCTTTGCGCAGTCAGCACTACACGCTCCTGCGCTTCGACAACAGTGATGATGTGCCGCGTGAGTGGGCCAATGCCAAAGAGGATCTAGGCACACTTCACCAGTTGCTTGAGGACATGCGTGGAGGAGGCAAGTCATGGCTGCCCAGTGCCAGCTCTGCCGCCTCTCAGGGCGGCAACTCCGCCGTCACTTCTTCCAAGGCCGCGCCTACAGCTGGGTCTAAGAGGGCCCGGTCTCAAGCCCCTGAGTGGATGCCCCCTGCGAGTGAGAGATCTTGGATGCCGGCAGCCTCTTCCGCCGCTGCTCCCAGTCTGTCGGGCGCTCAAGCTCGTACCCAGGCTACTGCTTCTGCTTCGCCTGGCACGGGCCGCTCCGTTCACACTGACAAACAGTCCTCCGCTCGATGTAAAGCGTCAGCCAAGAGGCGGGCCACGACTGGTCAATCCAGCACGCATGGTACTGATGGCATTCCTTGGAAGTGTAATCTTTGCCAGTACTGTACTCGAGCTCCTACTGTTAAAAAGCTTGTCAAGCGGCGTCCATCAGCATGAACGCCACCTTGTTGCTCGCATCCGGGAACGCCCTGTGATTGTGCAGGCGTCTGATGCCATCCCTGCGGAGCAAAGAGTGTGGGAGTGCCGCCTCTGCCACAAGGGCTTGCCCGCATGCCCGTCCAAGCATGTCCGCGATCTCAGTGTCTCGGCACACTTGGCGGTATGCTGTCCTGGAGGCAAAGGTAAGAAGTACTATGCCCCTCGCGATGATAACCGTCTTCTTGAAGCCTCCCGAAAGGGTGTCGATGCCATGACTGCCAGGCGCCACAAGCTCTTTCAGGAATACAAAAGCACTAGCACGCATGCCCTGAAGCTTGTTGCCTCGCACATCTATTGCTCGCGGTGCTATGGGCGGTGGTCAAGCATTAATGAGCTTTCTCGAAGCACTGAGGATTGCTGCGGCTTCTTGAACTACGACCGACGATGGCGACTCTGGAGCACCTTGCGCAAGAACCCCTCTGCTTTGAAGCGTTTCTTGCATGCCACAGGCATCAAACGTGCGCAGATTGATGCCCTCGAAGCCCGCATGCAGGGGCGACGCGGCAAAGTGGCCCTCAGCCGCATCACGCCACTGCAGCGTACCCGTTGGTATCGCGATCTTTGCGCCGAAGGCATTGAACCCAATCCCGGCCCTTGTGGTTCGTGTTTAGGGTTTAGGCCCCATAGCATGGTTTCCCTCTGCAAGCGCCGGCGTGCTCGTGTCGTGCCCCTGCAGAGCACGAGATGGTACAGGGATTTGTGTCAGGAAGGCATTGAACCCAATCCAGGGCCAAATGCTTCACGCCAGCTCTCCTTGCTCACCTTGAATGTGGCGGATAGCGCGAATGCTTTCGAAGCTGCCAAAGTTTATATGCTCGCTAAAGTCCATGTCATTGCCCTTCAAGAGGTGTGCTTCTCCAATCAGCAAGCCCAGGCCTTTGTGTCTCAAGCCAGCCGCTTAGGATATCATGCTTTCCACGTGTCGGGCGCCACCACAAGGTCTCGCCGTGGTTATGATGTTCATTCGGGCGGCGTCGCTGTCCTTGTGCGGCACAGCATAAAGGTCCAGCCGGTGCGCTCTTGGCAAGGGGTCGCCGGGCAGTTTGTTGCTTTAGACTTTGGCTCCTTCTTCATGGTGGCCGTCTACCGCAGACCGGATGATGACAGTGTCAGTGACATGACCCAAGCTCTGTGCGAAAGGCTCTGGGCGCGTCGTGCCCGCCAACCTTGGATTCTTCTCGGTGACTTCAACTGGACACCGGAAGAAAATGAGTGGCTTGAGCTGCTTGAAGATGAGTCCGCCGCCGTTGCTGGTCCCTGGGACCATAGCTGCGCGAGATGGTTTGCCACCAGATGGGAGGGCCACCGCTGCATCGACTATGGTATCACCAACTTGACCCACCGATGCAATGTTGTGCGTGAGCTCACCAGTTGGGGTGACCACATTCCCATCCGCATTGCTCTTGACCTTGCTAGCGATGCTGCAAACACTGATCGTCTGCAGCCCACTGCCTGCTACACCTGCCCACAGGGCGTGACTGTCAGTGCGTGGCGGCTCGCTTTGGGCGCTGCGTGGGAGGAAGTGTGGCGCTCTCATCCTGATGCAGTGCGCCTCCGCGAGGTTCTCCCTTTGCAGCCTAACCGGCCTAACCCTGACGAGGAAAGCCGCATCTTTCACACCCTTGTGGAAGCTGCTTCTCGGCAAGCGCGTGCAGCATTAGGGCTGGACAATGCGTGGCGTCACACTAGACCTAAGAGTTCCCCGCCTTGTGTTGTCCCTAATGACACCCTTAGCAAGCGTAGGCCCTGTGACTTCCAGTCATTCGCGATGCGCAAACTTCGGCGTCGCTTAGGTCAACTACTTGAAGCACGACGGTGTGTTGCAAGACACAATGACCCTGAGGCTCTGCTCCTTCGCAGACGTGCCGCTCGGCATGAGGGCCCGCTCACTCCCTTGCACACGGCCATTGTCGAGTTGGAAACGCAGATTCAACAAGTGCAGCACGCTGAGGCTTTGCAGCGCCTAAACCAGTGGAAAGAGAGTCTTCGTGCTTCCGACAGCTCGGTGCGGAAGTGGGTGCGGCGCAGCAACAAGCCGGCGCCTGCCTTTGTTTCGCTTGACGGTACTCCCAGCACCGGAGTTGCTTGCAGTCTGACCTTTCTCCGCACGTTCTGGCGGCGCATTTGGCGACGAGAAGTCCGACCTGATGACGCTATCCGTGCTTGGAGTGCCGAGCATGCCCGGCATCGTGCTCATGCGCCTCAACTCGGCTGGCAGCCGATCACTGCTAGTGAGCTTCAACAGCAAGCTTGTGCTTCTGGAGGCAAAGCTGCCGGCCCTGATGGCTGGAGCGGTGATGAGATCCAGCACTGGTCGCTCCCCATGTGGCGGACTTACGCTGACCTTTGGAACAGATGGATTCACCACCGCAGCTATCCGTCACAGTGGCAATACTATCTGCAGGTTCACCTCCCTAAGCAAGACCCTCACCCTGTGCATGGTTTAGACGTTGGGGACGCTCGTCCTTTAGTCCTCGAGCCTATTCTCTGCAGGATTGCTAGCTCTGCGTGGGCTCGCCGGGCCACCACGAGAGCGTGGCAACAGGCGTGGGCCCCGCTCGGTGCGCATGGCGGCTTCCAGCAGCGAGGCGTGCACACCGCTGTACATGCTTTGCAGAATGCGTACGTGCACTGTTATGGCATTCTTTCTTTAGATTATGCCAAGTGTTTTGACCGCGCCCACCCCAGCACAGCCACACATGCCCTCAGCCGGTTAGGTATGCCTGCGGAAATGGTCGACTTGTGCAGGTTTCAGTGGAGCCAACAGCACAGATGGCTCGGTTTGCAAGGTTGCGTTAGTGCGGAGGCCGAAGTTGTTACTTCTAGCTTGCCTCAGGGAGATGCCATCTCCCCTATGGCGCTTAACGCCATCTTATGGGCCCCCATCCAAGCCTACTGCCGCGAGGAACCCACGGCGACTGCGGTTACCTACTTGGACGATCGCAACGTGGTGGTCCATGACCACGCTCAGCTCGTTCGCACCCTCCAGTTCTGGATGCGCTGGGCTGGCAGGTTGGGCCTTGAAGAGAATGTTGGGAAACAGAAATTCCTCCCTCGGGGTTCTGCGGCTGCTCAGGAAGTCGGCCAATCTAGGACTGTTGCAGTTGTGCACACACTTCGCATTTTGGGAGTCGATTTTCGCACCCGCATTGATGGCAAAAACAGGCCCACCTACCAAGACCGCCTGAACGAAGCCCGCCAGCGCCTTGGCCGCATCGGCTGCCTGCCTGTCTCGTTTCTGGCCAAGTGCCAGTTCCTTCGACAGCTTGTCCTTCCTGTGGCAGTTTGGGGCACATGGTTTGTTCATGGCGCAGCCGGCACTTGGAAACAGCTCCAGCAGCGCCTCCTGGGCGTCTTGTATGGAGGCAGGTCCCCTGCTTCGCCCGACCTGCGTGCTTTGATGCAGGGCCATAGCTTGGATTTCCAATTCATGGCCGATTACCAGACCATCTCCATGTGGGCCAAGCTCGTTCAGCTTGGCCGCGCTCGCTGGCAGCCCGGCGCCATGAGAGGAACTTGGCAGTATGCCGTTGCTGCCCGCCTTAAAAGCATGGGCTGGCATTTGCAGCTTGACGGCTCATGGACTCATCAGGCCATTCCCAGACGATGCATCACTTGGGCTAGGAACCTGCAGACCGAGCGCATCAAGCACTTACTCCGGGAAGCATGGCGGCTTGAACGCTTTGAAGCGTGGAAAGCCTCGAGCAGACTGGATGCTGTGGCTGCGGCTAACCCGACGTTCCAAGCAGCTCGAGTCAAGCAGGCTTGGCAGCTGTGGAATGCCACCTGTGCTCATGGCCGTGCAGTACTCACCGTTGCAGTGGTCAGCCCAGCACGGCTTCAGGCCAATAAAAGCGGTGCTGCTGTGCAATGGTGCCCTTTCTGCAAAGAGGGCTATGCTCCTACGTGGGATCACTGTGCTTGGAGTTGCCCGCACTTCGGTGCTTCTCGCCCCGCCCTACCTGGCGACGGCATGCAGCGTAGGACGGGTTGGCCCGTGGCAGCGCGTACCAAAGCCCAAAATCTGCGAGTGCTTGACCATCTTGCTACTGTCCGCAAGAGCCTTGTTGCATACCGATGCCTGTAAAGTTTTCTTCTTGTGTGCTTCAGACACATAAAATGCCCAGATTGCTGGAGATGCACAGGTTTTCCCCTGTTAGGGCCTGTCCCTCCCTTTGTGCCTGGTTGGGGGTTTTAGGTTAGTTAAGCCTGCTCCTTCCCTGCTGTCAGCATTCACTCGGAGTTGATCTCCCGATGAGTGTCTTTTCTCAGTGGCAATTCGACTTCGTCAACGGCGCGGTCAGGATTGGTGCTGCGATCAAATCTTTCGGCACCTGGACGTGACCTGCTGGGGCTTTTGAAAAAACGTAATCCACAGGCCTGTTCTCGGAGTTGTTTGTTTTTAGCCCCGGGGGCATCGGGGCCAAGCTCTGGAAGGGAGTTCCGCACGAGGTTCGGTTTTGGGGGCGGGGGCTAGGTGTTGAGGAAGGCTGAAAGGTCGCAGCCGACTCGGTTTCAAGCTGACGTTGTGAGCTGGCTGCAGGATGTTCCGATCCCCTACGGGAGGAACACTCTCGCCCTGCATGTGGAGCAAGCCCGCAAGAGAGCGAGAGGGAGCGAGAAAGTCCTGAATTGCGCAAGTCATTCGGCTGCGTTGGGCCCAACACACTTTAAGACTTTCAGCAGACTGTCGCCATTAATTTAGCTACGCTGATGGACTAGGAGGATGTGACTTACGGCTTCGGGAAGCGGCATTCCAGCTTCGGTGGTGCCAGTACTGAAGCTACCCTTAGACTTTTTGCGGCACGGCGGGTTCGTGTGTTTGAGCTTTGAGTAAGGTCATCTCGCTGAAGCTGTGCTGGGCTCTGGAGCTTTGCTGGAGCCGGGCTCTCGGAGACGAAGCAATGGCATCTGTAAAGAAGGCTAGAGGGCTAGATGTGCAGCGTATGTTAAGCTTCTTCTCCTTCCATACTCCGGACAGGATACCAGCCTCACTCAAATGTCCCATGTAGATAGCACTATTTTGCGGCTTTTGAAACACATTTTAGCGGTCATTAGATGCTCGCACAAGCCCAGCGTAATTGTAAACATTTGTCGCGAGCATCGTCCGACTGCATTCAACATGGAAGGATGACATGCACGGATTGCTTCCGACATCTTTGGACTGTTATGCCCAAGCCCATTACAAGGGAGGACGACGAGCGGGCCACTCCTCCCACTATTGCCGGTCGCTTTGTCATCTCTCGTTTTGATGGACGAGCGGCTGCCGCTGCAGCTGGATGAGCACAAAGGGAAGCTGGGGAAGGTTCTGGCCCCTTGGAACCCATTCAGCCTTGTAATTTGGAGCCAGCTGCCACCTAGCGGCTAGCGCCTTCTCTCACGTCCCAGACACAGTCCCTTTTTCGTGAACGTCCCAGCCAAAGCACGCGCTCTTATTTGTCTCGGAGGAGTTTGGAGGCACAGGACCGACCAAGTGACTCAGATGCTTCGGCGACTGAGGCACAACAAGAGAGCATCTTGCAGCGAACGATTCTGGACAGCTTTGACCAAATGCATCGCGACTTGAAGGCGCACTGGGGTGCCTGAAACCGTCACTGGTAGTCTTGCTTTGCCACTTACGTGCTTGCTGGACTGCTCTGTTCCCTGGTTTGCTCAGCCTGCGATTCCATGATGTGGTGAACTCTTTGTCTTCTGATCTTGCTCCGTGTCAGGTGTGCTTGCACCAAAGGCTGTGCTTGATATCTTTGTTGCTCTGTCTTTGCATAGAGCTTCAGCCTAAATCACCGTTTGGTCCCGTCGTGAGAGGTGGAAAGACTGGGAAGACTGCATTCAGAGCTGGCTCCTGACAGCCTCTCAAAGCCAGAGCTGACTTTGCTGAGCCAGCTGAGTGGCAGCTGGCAGCCACATTCCTTGGGCGATGTGGCTATGTCTCCAGTTCCGAGTCTTCCAAGTGAACCCACACTCTCGGAATCCATGGTGGTTACATTTCCGCCAGAAGTTGATTCGCCTGGTTCCGTATCAACAGGGCAGGCGGACGCAGCATCGAGAAATTTGTCCAACGTATTCCGAAACGTGACGGACCTCACAACGGCTCCAGAAGTTGAGCAGACTTACAGCTCGGAGCGATGGATCCGGCTCCTGGACTACATTGCTGCAGCTCTTGTCGTCCTGAACTCAATCGCGCTGATCCTGGAGCTGGAGCTGGAAGGACAAGATGCTGCACGGATTTGGGTGGGCAGCTGCTTCTTCACCGGGGTTACGCTTATGCATTTCGGGTTTACCGATCGCATTGTTAAGCATGTCACGGTGAGCTTAATGAAGTATTCAGCAGCGGCTTGGGATTTCGGAGTCGCACAGACCACGAAGCCGGAGAGGCGTGAGCGCGTTTTCTGGAGCGAAGGGGTGTGCCCGCAACCTGGTGGTGTTGCTTCGAAGATGCGTAGGAAATATTCATGATTTGAGAGGTTGATCATTGGTGCACTATTGGTGCCGCTGGCAGGAAGCTGGAGGAAGCTAGACATGTTGCAAAGGAGTACCATGGAGGGGTCCGACGGTGGCACCCAGCAAAAGAAACTAAACTGCAGGGACCGTAAACTCGAAAAACACAGGTCTCAAAGTGGGATAGATAACAGCATCGCGATCGTATGTTCCAATGCTTTCTGCTTCTCAGAAGTTTCGCCGAGCCACTCAGTGCTTCCCAACACGCCTGATCGCACACCTGAAGCTGGAAGGAAGAGCTGCACATGTTGACATGATGTCCAGTGGCCCACTTTCGACACACACCTTGCGGCCGTACTGGCGTGCCGTGGATGGTACTTTCGATGTAATCTTCATACTCGATCCTTGCCTGCCTGTCAACACTTCTGTCTGTTGAGAATGCAAGCCAACTCAGTCAATCCAATACGCCCGCTGAGGAGATATGCTGTCGAGTGGTGCTGGAAGGAGTCAGTTTTCGGCATAGCTTCGCAGCCCGTCAGCTGCTAGAGGCTACTAGTACAGGATTGTGCACTCTACTGAAGCCTCACGATGAAAGTGCATCGGTAGTGTTAAACGTGGAATCGTTGGGCAACGGCCATAAGTTTGCATGCTGATCGAGACAACGGAGTTTTCGAATGAAGTCAGCGTTCGGCCCGAGCTTAGAGTCGCGACGAACCATTTTCCGCTTGAAGATCGGAAGGGGTGCAGGGCAGAGACGCATTCTTGACTGTGTCATTCACTCATCTCGCCGGCTTTATCGATTGCTGGAAGGCTGTCGTTGAGTTGAGTGTGCTTTGACTTTAGCCCGCTTGCATGGCACTGGTGTGGTGCAGTTTTGTCCGAGTTGGTCTTGTCAAGCTTGCATGCGTTGGAGACTTGAGCTAAGGCAAACCTGCACCTGGGCATTCGGTTTATGCTGTCGGCAAAAGCACAACATGGCATAGTAATCCGAGCACAGCCCGGCGCAAGCAGGTACGATTCCTTGCTGGGCACATTTGCGGTCGTTGACCTGCGCCTCCGGCAATTTTACTGTGGGCCTGCATGCGAGAGTATCGGTGGGGTTTTGCGGCCGAGGACATGAAACCCCCCGAAAAAAGCAAGCGGATTGTTACGAGATATCGAAAGTCTAGGCCAGACCGCTCATACCGTGCTCCGGATTAAGCCTCCAAAGAAGTCGATCTAGATCACAGCGCCTCACACTGGTTCAAAAGATTGTGGTAACTTCCCTGACAAATAATGTTGGCGATTCATGTGACTTAGGGAGCCTCGACCCGCAGTGACTAGGTCAGCCAAACTGTGACAGTCTAACGTGCCGTAATCCTTCAAAGCATTCTAATCGAAAACCCGATTGAATCACCGTGAACCGACAAGCCTTGAACTACTATTCGTCTTCAACAGTCCAAAAAGCTCCAAGTGTCAGCGTCGTCAGAAATCCGAGAACTGCACCACAACCCAACCCGCTTACTTTCTGCCCGGAGGGATCACACGAATGCACAACATGCTCGACGGGTTTTTGTTGCAATGCCAGGTTTGTTGTGCTGATGCAAGAGGTAGACAGGAGCAACCTTGGCTCCGTTCAACGCGACGAAGCCGCAAGCAGACGCTTCGAGATGTTACGTGCGCCATGGTTTCCCGTGCGCCAAGAGATGCTGTAAGGGAATATAGATACTTAATAGTCCAAACATGTCCAAACTTCACCCGGCATTGCGAGCCCTTGTCGGTGCCGTTCTTCTGCCGGCAAGCAGCGAGTAAGAAGCCCACTTGTCGCTGCTGGATGTCCATGCAGGCAACCTTTTGCGAGCCATCAGCTCCTTGCGAGCATTGCGCCTTCTTCGTGTGTTGCGGCTCTGCAATGGGCTGCAAGTCCTGCTGAGCCCTGGCTTTTCGTGGCACCGTGCTCGTTCCTTAGTGTTGTCTCTAAATTTGCGCGGGGGGCGAATTGGTTATCTTGTAGGTTCCTGGATGTCATGCGATCTGGCTCCATCCAGGAAAGCTTGTCAATCCTTTGCATCTTCGCTGTGTTGGTCAATGGTGCTACTGCTGATCTTCATCATTGTGGGCGCTCTCGTCATCGGGAACATCCTACAGGATTTCATTCAAGATCAGTCAGCGAATCTGGAGGACAGGCAGTGGATCTGGCATCACTACGGTACAGCTTACCGCTCTTGGCTCACCCTGTACGAGGTGACATTTGCTTGCTGGCAACAATTTGGCTTGTCATACACATGTTTGCTAGTATGGCTGGTGGTTTTGTAATGCTGACCTAGACGATTGCCGCTATCAGTGTCACGACTCAAAGCTTTAAAACTTCATGTGTTGCAGTTGTTGTTGCGTGTTCTCGGTTTGATTGTTCAATCGTCGCTGCGGCAAGATGTCTGGCACCTGGCTGTGAGTCTAGATGCGGTTCGCTTTGCTGCTTCGCGTGAGTCCAGAATCTGCCGATCAACACGAGGCGCAGCGAGTGTTGATGCTCCCAGGACTGTGCCAATGTTCGGGCTAATAGGAGTTCAACAGTAGACATTCTGAGTATGATGATTTGCCCCCGGTTTCCACTGCTAAGCCCAGGCTGGCAGCTGGCCTACAAGAACACGCCCTGTTTTGGACAAGGTAAGCCAGGGCTTTGCAATTTTCTTCGTATTTTACATTACGGTGATTGCCTTTGCCCTTATTCGCATCATCACTGCCATCTTTCTCAAAGACACGCTCGATGCCGCAAACAATGACGCCGAACTGCAAATCATGGAGAACATGACACGGCGGGAAAAGCGCCCATGTTGCAGTAAATGTTTGATCTTGCAGGTTGCGAGTCCTGCGACGTGCCACACCGTTGTTTTGTCTGAGGTTCGTGCGCCATTTGCAGGGGATCTTCCGTGCAATCGACGACACAGGAGATGGCATGATCACCCAGGAGCGGCTGGAAAAAGTCCTCTCCAATCCGAAGGCACGGGTGTGTCTCAGAGAGGGTATGCCTAGACGCGTGACATCCATGATGCACAGAGGTTTGCACGATGGTAAGCCCTGCAGTGGTTTTCGGTCAACTCTGCAGGATGACCGTGTCGATCAGGTTTCCTTAGGACCGTAAGCACATTGGGTTGTGCAGACAGCAAACCGGCCATGTCGGGGCACCAAGAAGAAAGACGTCTTCACGTCCCCCGAGTCATCGCAAGAAAGCCAGAGCCTGTGCACTGGACTGGTTAACCTTCATTGTCAGCTTTGTTAGCTGTAGCGAAGGAGTAGCCCAACAAACCACCAAGAGTACGATCGGTCTGAGACGAACCAGCACGGGCTCCGCTCGGAAGAAATGGAGCACATGACTGATTTGTATGATGGTTCTTTTAGAGCTCGAGGGGGGTGCGAGGTCATCTTTGAGAGTTCGGCTTCGGTTCTTGAGCCTGACGTGAAGTTGACCACATGTGAAGGTGAAAGTTCCAGTTTTTATGCTGAGGTACAAGGTTTGGGAGTTTTCCTCTGGCCGCTTCGTCTCTGCGAGGAACTTCGTGTTGCTGAAGTCTTGTCTGTTCCTTTGGCTGTTTGTCGGCCACCTGTTCGATTTCAGCCTCGTCTCCTTGAGTAGCTTCCGAGTGGTGAAGTTCGTCACATGTGTCGTATTCATGTCTACGCGCTTGGGCACTGGAAGGATGAAGTGGGAGGTTGACAGGTTTGCGAGGAGTGAAGAGTCCCGAAGAGCTTGAGGGGCGCAGTGTGACGCGAGGGGCTTCGAATATGAGACAGTCGCCTGGCTTGAACAGCGGGGCATCACTTCATGGGCCACAAGGCAAACACCAGCTTGTTTCTGCGACGAGTTTTTGCTGAGCTCTGACGTTGCCTGTAGAGACAAGAGTCCCCAGATTGAGGGCCACTCATGTTCCAAGCCCATCGGCGAAAATGCTTTAATCTGACCAGGTCGAGAGAGTCAGTCGAGAGACACAGAAGAAGGCGGTACAACAGTCCTGGTCGCCTTTAACTTGCATGGCACTTGTCACATCTCTGCTGCTCGAGTCCTCCAGGTCAGGGCATACTTCCAGACCCTGGACTTGGACATAACGGAGAGCACGGCACTGCAAATGGGCAAGCACAAAGAACATCCCTGTCAACTCCGCTTGCTGGATTAAGCCAAGTAGATCTAGATACTGTATACATGCCCCAGCCACGGTTCGTTTTGTGCCAGGTTCCATTTGCTCGATGACGGAGATGGTGAAGTAACGCTACACGAGTTTATCTCTGGCATACTTCGATGCAAAGGGCACGCACGTGCGATAGACCAGGTGGCTTTGCATACAGACATCAAGATGCTGGACAAGAAGATTTCCAGACTTGGGGAGGTGTTGGTCTCTTCTTCTGGCCGCAGATCCGATGTTGTGCCTCTGCTACCAAGAGGTTTGACAATGTAGGCCCTGCCTGTAGTGAGGAAGTATGAGGAAGTTAAACATCCTTTGTCTTCTTGTGTTTCTGGAGAGCTCCGTCTCTCTCTGTCTGTCTCTCTCTGTCTCTCTCCTCGCTTAGCGGTCAGGGATGTCGCAACCGGAAGTCCACACCATACCACAGTCGGACCGGGAGCTGCTCCGTTCGGTTTCAGCATGGCGGAGTTGTCCCCGCGTGCTCGAAGCAAAGACACGCAGCTCCGCCTGTGTCTGTGTGCCATCGCAAAGGAGAACCGAGCGCCGAAGTTGAGTAGTCATAGTGGCGAATAGCTGCCCGCGAATCAGCCTCCCGCAGCTTCTAGCATACTCGATCTTACCCTTTGTGCAACCTGGGGGCCCCTGCTAAGGTATCAGATCGCCATCTGCGCGACAGCCATGCAGAACTACTCTGCATGTTCAATGCCAAGAGCATGAGCAAGGAGTATCTGGGCTGAGGCCACCCGCAGTAGATGAATTTGCAAGGACAGGAATGCCCAAGCCCCCTCATCATTCCATTCACCGCAAGCACGAGAGCGCAATCAGTAGGCCTCTTCACCTGCAGCAGCTTGGGAAATCTTGTTGCCATGGGGACAGATTTTCCAGTCGTTCTAAAAAGAAAGACATGCACGTGCTTGAAGCCGTGCTTCACAGTTTCTGTTCGCAAGGGAAGTTGTGCTCGATCCGTACAGGTGCAGCGTGTGTTACTGGTACCGGTTTAGAAAGATTTAGAAATTCCATGCGAGCCCGAAAAAATCCGAAGTACATGTTTCACCAGAGCAGGTTCAGATTGGGTTGTGTCCCATCTGGCTGCAGTCAAGCCAGTCGAAGACTGTCTGCTTCCTGTTTAGCCTAGTCAGCCAACCCCGTTCTCAGTGGCCAGAGGCTACAGTGTCCACGTTGCCAGCGGCCTGGGGTTAGCACTTTTACCAGGTATTGCACATGGGCACTGACCAACGCAAGCCCACGGCCCACGGCATAATACCGTCAGCCACACACACACACAAACGCGCGCCACTGCAAGAAGTTAGTCGTTGCTTGGTCGAAGCCATCAACCTCAGGCTACCTTCGGATCAAGCACGCAGACCTCTCCACTGCGATGCGACGAATGGGGCGCATCTGCCTAATTGGTTCAGATACGTGTAGGGGAAAAGCTGACTGATCATGGTTTATATAGATCACATGCTGCGACTAAAGTGACATGTGGCTTCTGTTCTGCTTCTCGCTGTCATCATGTGCACTGGGTGATCCACGGCAAAGTCTGCTGTGTGACCTGATGGAACGCTCAGTAAGCTTGCGATCGCTTTGTCTGGCTGGCGCCAAACCGTTCCTGTCCGCTGGTTGGTCATTATCCTGGTGCGTCGCCTTGCTTGTCTTGCCCCACGACCACTCCCATGTCTATCAAGTTCCTAGGAAATGCACATAAACTGTATGGGCCTCGACCATACTGCCAACTTCTCGGTGGTAGAAAGGTGTTTCCATACGCGGAGCCATTGGTCCTGCTCAGTGGCCGGACTCCCAGCAATGTAGAGAGCAGGGTCAGGAGTTGCCAGTACTGGTAGTTGTTTGCCACTTTGCATTGCACGCTGAAATGGGTTCCGCAAGACTTGAAGAAGAGAGTTGCTTCTTGAGTGCGTGACGGTTTGAACGGTGCATGCCGAGGGTGCACCTGCTTTGAGACCATGCCAATGGCCCAAGGCCATGTTCACCTGCTTTTCATGCCTTCTCATGGTGTGGCACACCATTGTCCTGCTGCTGATGTTCTGCCACGGCCTCGATGAAAGAACAATGTCAGTTTGATAGCTTGACCTGCCACCTTCCAGCACTGATGACAGTTACGAGTAGCTGGCTCTGAGGCTACGACTACGATTCGAAGCAGGCACGTTCAGGTTTGTACACGCAGTGATGAGTGGGCAGATGTAACTGTGCAACATGCAGAGTGAATGATGCTCCACAAACGATTCTGGCGTCCCTGTGCCGCTGTTGAACGACCCCTCCGGAGTGAGGCGGGGCCAAGCGAGCTTGTGGCCAGTTTTTCCGAGGCATTTGCCGTGCGATTCCTCATGGTCTCGTCTGGCATCTTTGTTGTGCGGGCCTTGGTTTACATGGCGATGACCAGCATGTCATGCTGAACTAAATCATCCGCAAGCGGGCTTCGAACCCACAAATGCCTCTAGGTGGCAAATTGGGCCTTCTGGCGAGACTTCGCGCCGAACTTGGATTAGTTTCAGCCTGCCGTCAGAACACGCTCGCGGCAGTCTTCCAGCATGCACTGCCATAGTCCACAGCTCCTTCTGCTTTTCAGGTGCGGAACTATCGCGATTCTCAGGATGAGGAGAGGCTGGAAGCTTACGGCAGAAGGGCTGTTAAAAGACACGTTTCGAGTGGTATCAAAAGACCCCGGTGCAGCTTGCACACTGGCCACGAACTCAGGCTAGATTTTGTGGGTCTGTACAAGCTCCAGCTCTTATGCAAGATGTACAAATCCAAGGCCGTTTTTTGATTTGCGCAATGCAGAGCGCATTTCAAATTGAGTGGTTCCAGGTCATCACTTCGCACAAGGTAGCTGATTTGCGTGCTGCATCTGGCAGTGAGCCCTTATCTTGTGGAGCCGGCATGCTTTGTGGTGCGCAGCTAGGTAGACACCCGCTGAAGCTGCCGTCCTTACTTGGCAAACTTTACGACAGCTATGCCTTGAGAACGATCGGCAAGTGCTACAACAGCCTGCATGAAACACCCACGCACACAAACAAACAGATGAAGCCGTGCCAGGTACAGTTTGCCTTGAGGCCAGGGCTGCAGCATGTCGATGCTGCAGTAAGTTCGGGCTCCTGCCCCGTCGCGGAGATCAGAGCTCGGCTGGTGATTCGCGCATGATTCCTCAGGATTTTGATGACTCTGAGGTCGTCGCGAAGCTCCCATGTGCCTTGTTGGATTCTGGCGAGAGCAGTTGGAGTCGTAGTTTTTTTTTTTTTTCTGGTGGGCGTCGTTTGCCGACGTAGTGACGCAGTGTTTGTTGTCCAACACTCTCATGTGCTGACAAAGATTTTAACAGCTGATCACTTCGTGCTGAAGCATCTCCGAGAGAGTGGCAGAGGAAACCCCACATCGAGAAAGCTTCAGCGCTGAGCCAAAGATTGTCGTTCGGACAGAATGCCAGCACCAGCTTGCGCGCTTGGGCCGATTCGCACATGCTCAGCAAAGAGGTGAATGGGAGGACGAAATGGGTCTGGAGATGTTGGAGAGGACACAGAGTCGGGCTTCGAGAGAGCAGCCGTGCATGGTGGCAGAGTCCCCACAGCCATGTGCCCTGTCAGAGATAGGTAGGTAGGTAGACAAGGAGATATACACACACAAGCGGTCTATGGGTTCTGGAATGGAGAGGCCGGGGACCAAAGGGAATTGCCTAGCAATTACCCGTAAAAGACGGATCAGAAGAAGAAGAAGCACATTGCCCGGGTTCTGCGTGCACGGCTAGGTGGCCATTGCTTCCACACGGCTTGCATAAACAAGTGGGTCATCGAGGACAGGTGCTGAAAAAAGGATCAAGCATGTGCATGGCCTCCTAGTTAGTAGCAGTCACGGTGACGACTGTGAAGGACTGGCGATGTCCGTTTCGGTGCTCTCTGGAAGTGCCAAGGCTCCCGAAGCCAGAGATCGGCTTGTAGTTTGGCAACTGGTCCTCCTCCAAATGTCCAGTGCGCCACAACGACTTATATGCACGCCGCCGTCCAAACACATGCGAATCACAGCTGGCACAAAGTGTCTCCATATCAGACAGGATGACTCTGGCAAGGAAAGACTTTGATCACAAAGCATGTTTCTAGAAAGATGTTTGCATGCTCACAGGCAGGACTCGAAGCGCCCGCCAGAGGCCTGGCTGGCGAGAGCTGCCGAGGCCGCTCGCACTGGCGATCTCTCTTGACTTGCGATGTTGTTGTTGTTGGTACAGAAAAACAGCAGCCCGTACCGTAGTTGTTGTTAATTAGAAGCAATTGGGAATGCTTCTGACGACCGCACAGGGTGGCTGTAGAGTTTTGGGAAATGCAATCCATGGTGTGCGCAGCATCTGCCCCATGATAGAAATGCAGTGTAGGCGGGGTGGTTGTTGTAAGGAAGGGGGGGGGCAAAACAACAGACGGGGCTCCAGTTTTTGTCTCTACCAGCAGGTAGAGACAAAGACCGTATTGAAATCAGGACTTTGTCTCTACCTTCTGGTAGAGACAAAGCTGCGGCCCCGTCGGTTGAATTGATCTCCCCCCTTACAACAACCGCCCACATTACAACGCATTTCCACCCCAGGTATGGGAATCTGCGAACTCCAGACGGGATTCTCATGTTTGAAAGGGCTTGTCTGGAAGGTTGAAGCGTTTGCATGTCGAACTGTTCAAGGGGGATTTATGGAGGACTGACGGGTTTTATCTGATGTTGAGGGGCTTTAGCGGGGATTTGAATGGCTGTAATGGGATGCTGAGGGGTTTTTAGTGGGTGTGATTTTGAAGGTGGGGGTAGAAAAGGTTTTGATGGTGTTTAGGACTTGTTTCATATCATTTTGTAGCATTTGGAACCGGATTTAGAAAGATTTCAATGCTTTGGACAGCACATAGCCGTAGAAAGCGGTAACGTCCACACAAAATCCTTGCAAATACACACAAACCCACGAAAATACATTCAACATTTCTTTCAAATACATACAAAATCCATGGAAATTCATAACAACCCATGGAAATACGTAAGAACCCATGGAAATAGACACCAATTCCTTGCAAATACACACGAAATCCTTACAAACACATGCAGAATCCCTGTAAATGCACAAAATCCATCAAAATTCGCACCCAATCCTCGCAAACCCACACAAAATCTTTGCAAATCCACAATCCTTGGAAATGAGCTGAAAATAGTGAAAACCCTTTGCAAAGCATTCAAACCTATACACCGTGGGCACTGTGTTGGTGTTGTAGTTGTTGTTGGCTCGGACCACCTATAAACGCGCGTTTCGCATGTGCCAATTCCACCGGTATTTGCAGTGTTTTGCGTGGGTCACATGCCGAAAACACCACTGTCAGCGGTGGTTCCGGCGTGTCCACTTTCCACGTTTCTAGTGGCGCCTGAAATATTGGTATTTGCGGTGTTTTGTGTGGTTCACTTGCCGAAAACACCACTGCAATCGGTGGTTCCGGCGTGTCCACAACAGCGCATCTATTTCCAAGACCGAATGACGTCCATGGTCTACTGCGGTTCACCTGCCGCATCCGGCGTGTCCACAACAGCGCATCCATGTCCAAGTCCTAATCACGTCCATGGCCTACCGCGCGAACCATGATCACGTCCAGGTCAGACCATATCCATTGCCGCAGAGCATCCATGGGCCAACCATGATCACGTCCAGATCAGACCATATCCATTGCCGCAGAGCATCCATGGGCCAACCATGATCACGTCCAGATCAAACCATATCCATTGCCGCAGAGCATCCATGGGCCAACCATGATCACGTCCAGATCAGACCATATCCACTGCCGCAGAGCATCCATGGGCCAACCATGATCACGTCCAGATCAGACCATAAGACCTAATGACGTCCATGGTCTACCGCGATTTCGAAACTGCGCATCCATGTCCAAGACCTAATGACGTCCATGGTCTACCACGATTTCGAAACAGCGCATCCATTTGGAAGACTTAATGTTCTCGAGGCGCCCTTCTCGCAGAAGCGGATTGGGTGGCTTGGTAGCTGCAACCCCTTCCGCCTTGAGTTCGAAAGAAGGGAGCTGATGCCGCCCTGAACCCTAAACCCTACTCTTCCAACTCTAAACCCTAAACTTCTGTTCGCTTGCCTTCTGTAGCAGGGGCTCTTTCGGTGTGTGCCGTTTTTCCCACACAGGCCACGTTTTTTGCTTCCTCTGCAAAAAAAAGAGAAAACGCGTAAAGTTCAAAAGACTGTGCGGAGGACGTCTCGCGCGAAATGGGCGTTTTTGATGCCGGGAAGGGGGGGGCGCGCGTGCATGCAGCAATTGCACGTGCAATGAACACAAACAGACGTCTATGTCAGCATGTGCTGTTTGTCCCACGCAGGCCACGTTTTTTTGCCTACCTGCACAAAGACAGAAAATCAACACACGCCTGCCTTCCAGCCGCGCGCGCGTTTACAGGGCGTCCGCGCGTTGTTGTTGTTGTTGGTGGTGGTGTTGTTGAGGGGTAAAACAACATGACGGGGCTCCTGTTTTTGTCTCTACCTTTTGTACAGTCAACAAGCAGATATATGGGTTGATGGGGCTGCAGCTTTGTTTGTACCTCCTTGGTGTTGTTGTTGTTTATTGTTGTGATGATTGCTCTTGTGATTCGTGCACGACTACTCTCTTGAAAAGGTCGCAAAAGCTCCTTCGCAGGACCTTGAGTTTTAGACCCAGCTGGGCGGGGATGTGGGAGGAGGTGCAGGAGCGGAGGGATCGGTAGACAAAGGAGTCTCAGATGATCCGTTCCTTTCCGGTGGCCGGGTGGTAGCTCATGCTGTACGGTATTTGCCGCCGAAAGCACGGTCAACTCTGATAGATGCGCAGAGGCCTCTCTGGCCGATAGCCCAAAACAGCAGACCCAAACCCACAACGTCGGGCATCGTCAGCTGCTTGATTCGTGAGCTTTCATCTCCCCCTTGGCACAGATGCTATCGTCGTTGTCATTTGTGCTGCTGTCTTTGCCGAGCGTTTGGTGGTGCCCCACGTCTTTCACCGGCTGAGTTCCGTTGATGGCCATGTTGCACTTGTCGCCGTATTCCTGCCAAGGGGGTGTCGAGCTAGCAAGTACACAGCTCCTCACAGTCTGACCTTACCGACCTCGGGCAGGAACTTGAAGGCACTATGCCACTCTGCGTTATGAGGTAGATGAACATGAGGTCTCTGTCGCCCAATGGAGTAGACATGAAATAGACAGGGCGCGCGGCGTGCCCCATCAGAGCCTTCACACGTCCAGCAGGTCAGCATCATTCCAGAACCAGACCTCGAGGCATCCGGGACGGACTGAGAGGTCTCTTCCTCTCACTACTATTCCATTCACATGCCATGGCTGTCAAGTGAATTCAGCATCGCCTCAACTCACGCTTTATCGCAAGTGCACAGGCCGCAAATCGGCAGAGGACAGCGCTTCGCCTCCGTTGTTTGGTAGAAGAGTGGAGTCGGGAGTGGTTTCGGGAGGACAATACCATGATTATGAACACTTCCAGCGCGACTCGCCACCAGCTTACCGAGGTTCAGAAGTTCGATCACAGGAATAGGCATCTCCAGCTGTGGACGTCGTGTTTTTCAGCAGAGGAGTCTTCATGAAGTTGTGCACCTGCAAGAGAGATGCACCTCTCCGTGTTGGCAGCACTGGCACTCAGCTGTTCACTGCAGGTTTCGAGGCCGGCCCATGCAAAAGTCAAAGGCGCCTGGTCACAGAAGAAGCGGAAGACCGCTGTGCCTAATTTGTTTTCCAGGAGCCAGCAGCCAAAGCACCAGTTTAGGTGGCAATGTGTTCGCAAGCACATGAAACTCGAGTCGCCCATTTTTGAAGTGTTTGGTGAAGTGCTGGCTTGGAGTTGTGCTGTTCGCATGTATGTGCCCGAGCAATGGCGAGGCCGTTGCGCGCACAAGCCATGACTAATTCAGTAGTTAGGCATTGAGGACCTCCTGTGGAGGCCAGGCTTCAATAATAAATCAGATGGAGCCAACTAGAGTCAAAATCGTCTCCCTCACACCTGGACTCCACGTGGAGTGCTGCTTTCGTTTGCTTCGCAGGCTATTGCGACCGCTTAAACTGCGACACGGGGCCTTTGAGCAAGCAAGCCACATCCACGATGTGCACGAGAGCGGACTTATTTTGAGAGAGCATGTGAAATCTCCATGTGGACTGGCACCTGGCCTCGTTGCTAGCAAGGGCCTGCACTGGTTGGAATGCAGCTGGAACTGCCCCTGTGCAGGAGCCATTCGGCTCAGTTCAAGGATTTCAGCTCGGCATGCTTCGAGACTTACATTATCCACAGAACTTGGACACTGGGTGGCTCCAGACTGCCCAAATTAGTGCACGGACATCCGTGCTGCTAAGCAGGCCTCTTCAGCTGTTGGTGAGACCTCACACTGTCCCACGTGAAGAATATTTCTTGGACGCAAGTGCAACGAGCCAGAAGAGATCGCAGCATCACAGTGGAAGGGCTGAAGCAAGGATGCTCGTCCTTTCTGCGACAAATTCGCAGCGGGGTCATGCAAGTGAGCGCTAATGCAAGTCACAGAAGGTCGTGGTCCATCCCACGAGTGCAGGTGTAGCAGCCCGGTTCAATGGCTGCTCCAAGCCTGCATAATTCAAACCCCTTAGGTTTGATGTGAGGGTTTTGCACCATGCGTGGCACAGCCAGGCAGGGTGTGGCCACTGCCCACTCCGACCAATCAACAACAGGATCAGAAAATTGGATGAAATTATGGGGGGCCTTGAGATTCAGGAGTTTTGTTCTATCATATAAGCATGAAGCATAGACTTTGAAAGCGAATTCTAACTTCTTTCTGACGCCCACTCATTCGTTCTCCAGCCGCCGAGCGATTTAGTTTTTTTCTGACCCTCTCCGGCACGGTGCGGACCTACAACATAAGAGGTTCGGAAGGCAAGCTGATGACGCTGCCAAGAACGAAAGCCTCTACAAGAGAGGCATGTTCCAATGCACAGGGCAAGCGCCAGAATCGCCAAGCCTCAGCTCCCTCGGCCTCGACCCGACCTGATTTTCAAACACTCGCCCCGAAAGCCGACAACCTGAAGAAGACAGGTGTTTCTGTACCCTTGCGGAAAGGCTTCCCCTGTGCTCACAGAGGTGTGTTGCCGTCACATCGAGAAAGACTTACGTTCTCATTCCGGGAAGGCCTTATTTTATATAGACATGTCACCTCACGGGAGCTTACAAGAATGTCAATCGACCTTGCAAACTTATGCAGAACAGGCTTTTGCTGTCTCCTGTGTTCGGTGCCATTCATTCCGGCGACCCTTTTTCGTAAGTTGATCAGGATGGATTGCTTCGTCAGGGCTTCATGCCAGCACGATAGAGCTCGATCCATTCCCATCACGAGAGCTGCGAGAAGGTCTCCAGGTGCAGAGACAAGCGGAGATGGAAAAGCAAGCTGTGCATTGCTGTGAGCACTCGCTCTTGCATCAGACCTTGCCGTCCCCACAACATCCGATCTAGTTTCCGACTGAGGGCTTATCCGAGGGTTTATGGGAGAGACTATAAGCTAAGCTTTACACCTTGGCACTGTACGCGCAAGTATCTGGCAGTTTGGAAACACAACCGGGCAAGTGACACCATGCACAGCAAACAACCAGGCAAAGAGATCTAGTTGCCTGCTTACAAATATGGCTTCATCTTCTCAACGCGGAAAGGCCCGAAGCGCCGATTTTCTGAAAGTATGAAGCTTCCCAGCTTACTTAGCCCTCCTTGCTTGCATGCCGCGGGAGGCCTTGAAGCTGGCCAGCTTCGTTTGTGCCTGGCAGCTGGCACAGCTCGTAGGCCTTGCAAGGGCTCTGGGAGGTTTCAGACAGATTTCCCGACTCCTGGTGGACTGCTGCACAGGCTCTGCCTTCACGTTGCGGCTGCAACAGTCGCCAAAGGCCCCCAGCTCAGCCAACGCAATGCCCGAAGTATGACACATGGCATGTAAACGACCTTCCTTGCCTTTTGCCGGAAGGTTCGCATTTTGAGAATATGTCTGCCTTGTTGAAGCGTCCCCTGAGAGCTGTCAACTCAATCGAACATTATCGAACCCCCCCAAACCGGAGAGGCAAACTGAAGAAGCCGCTACCAGGGGGGTCTAATGGGTTGCTTTGCCTTTCCAGATTTGTACCAGCAGGGCCAACAGCACGAGACCATGGCAGCAAGCAGGAGTTTCCAGACCCAGATCCGTTGTGCAGGCAACAGCTTTGCGAGCGACACTGGTTGGTGAAGATGGCCCGGCGCATAGGTAGTGGAGAGACTGTGGCCCAACCGAGAACCATGTCTTGCAAGAGCTGGCAGCTAGCACCCCGGTAGCCAAGGCAGCTGTTGGATACCGCATGCCAGCCGCTTGATCAGAACAGTCCTAAGGCTCTACATTCGAGCGGTTGACAACAAAAAGCAGCACACCCCAGGCCTGGTGGCACCTGAGGCTGTTTTGATTGTTCACCTACACAGCTGCACACTGGTCTGAAATTTCAGGCCACCAAGAGGCCACGACAGGCATCAAAGGAGCAGGAGCCGGGCCGACAGAGTGACTACTATGACGGTGATGTTGCTGGTGATGGTGATGATGACTATCGCCATCACAACGAGTACGGTGATACTAACGCGCGTCAAAGATGATGGTGGTAGTGGGGCTGATGACCCTGACGACGACATCGCATCATCATCATCATCATCATCATCGTCATCTCATCACCATGGCCAAGAGCCACCATCGCCATCATCTTCATCATCAGCATCATCATAAGAAGAACGCTTGTGGTGACAGTGATGGCTTCTCAAGGCAGGAACCTAACATCACATGCATGTCCATGAGGTGATACCATGTGGTTTCGCAGCCTTCGTTCTGCTCCTTGCGATTGGGGCATATCAGCCGGCTTGTCTGTATCATTGTGGACAGCACGGTTCCAGCCTGCTTGCCAGCAAGCACAAGATCAAGTTGGGCAGTGTCGGAAATCATGGCAAATGCAGCGCATGTTGGAAGACTCCTGGCACATCCGGATCTGGTTCGTCTTGAATCCATCCTCGCATGGAGATGTGCAGGAAGAGCCCATACAGCAAGACTGGTATGCCTGTGCCTCGCCGATGTCGCACGGAATCATGTCGATTGCGGTTTTGCAGCCGTCGCAGGTTGGTACCATCAAGTCCTACTTTCCAGAGCAAGGCCTGTGTTGGCACTCGAAGGTGTTGGCCAGCACAGGAAAACCCTCGGCCAGGCTTCGGGTTCATTGAGTGCCCGGAGCTTTTCGAGTTGCATCAGGTCGGAGACGATGGAAAAGCACAGTGATACTTTGTCAACACTCGCACAGCTGCGAGGCGGATGTGTTCCTGCACAAAAACCAGGCCTTGTGATGCCGTGTGCACGTGCTGGCGAAGCATGCTGGCGCAATTTCGAAGCTCGCACCTGAAGGTGGACCAGCACTTGGGGCCCCAGCCTTGGCTATCCTGAGCAAAAGTTGGACACGGTGTTTGCTCGACCTGAGGAAGAGAGCTTTCCCAGGCCGGGACGGTGAGGGGATGCAGAGTTGCGAGACCGGCTGTGAGTGTTTTGGTCAATGTTCGATGACTTGGCTGCGCCTTTCAGGCGACAAGGTCCGATTCCAAGTCGGCATGAACAAGGCAAGGCACCGACCATGAGTTCAGGGCGAGAGAATTTGGGCAAGGCACCAAGGCAGTGTGCAATGTGCAGGCGAAAAAGCCCCAGGCCAGAAATGCCGTGCACCCGGCCTGCCTGAGTTTCTCCACCACCGCATCACCCAAGTAGGTGAGGATAGCAGGATTTCGTGATTTCCGCGAGGTTGCCCGATTTGTCGGCGAATCCGCTGACACAGGGTCGCATCCTCACTCCCTTTGGCCTTTTCCTTCAGGTTGCTGGATCTGTCATCGGCCTCCCGGCCCTGTTGAGGTCTTGGGTGGATGGCAACAAGACCTATGTTGCCGACTCGGTGGCCGAAGTCACATCGAGCATCTGGCATTCAGGATTGTAGTCAGCAAACACTCATGCAAGCAAGACCCACTCAAATAGTGCAAAAGGGGATGGCTTCTGGGCCATGTTGGGCTGCTTGTGAGGTTGGCCGTGTGAAGGAGTACTGGCCCGCGAAGGGCTACGGCTTCATCGCCCCCTGTCCAACGCGTGAATTTCTATGAGTCCGTTTGAGTGGATTGGACGACATCTTTTCGTCACGAGCAGTCCCACCGTGACAACTGCTCCTGCACAGTGCAGCTTGGCATGCCTGTTGAAGCAACACAGCCCACAGGCACACAACTTGTGCCAGAGACAATAACAGTACCAATAACCAGACCGCTGGCACATGGCGTCACATGATAGCCTTCGCACACCAGAAATGGTCGGCTTGCCCACCCAAGGCTTGCGAGGAGATCAGAGGCGTGTTCCAGAGCACGCGACTCAGGACACATGCCAGCTTCATGCCGAATGTTGAAGGGCGTGATGGTACGATGTGAGACGCATGGACTGCGTTGGCATACACTTCGTGACGCTGGCGCGGAACAGCCTGCTTTCACCTACATCTAGATACAGCCCCGCCGACATCGCAGACGTTCGCGAGCGCCACAACACTGCTTCATCACTTGTGTCGTTGCTCCAGCTGGTCAAGTGCCAGTGACACTGCCGGGCAGCTGAAGCTTGAAAAAGTTCCAAGCTGCGGCCTGGTCGCCCAAAAGGACCCGTGCAAAAACATTGCCAGTCATTACCCAGCTGCTCGTCTTCACCACATGTTTCTTGCTTGAGGCGATGTCTTCCTGCACAAGAACCAAGCCGAGGAGACTGCTGCATGCGGTGTTCTTCAGCCTTGACAACCGTCAGCGAAGCAGGGCGAGAGCTCCGCTTTAGCGCTGCGGGTTTTGGTTGCGACTGCAGACCGAGCGGCATTGCTCCCACAAAGACGTGCACTACCAAAACACGGACCCAGACAAGTCAAGAAGAAAAAGCGAAACAAAGCCAACGAACTATGTTCTTCTCACGGGTGGGAAAAACATGTTCTGAGAAGTCCCCATACTGTACTTGGTTAATCTTGACTGAGTTCCATGGGCTTGTTGGTCGGATTCTTACCCTGAACCTGCAAGCTACGAAGCTCCTCACTACAGCCCTTTTCGGGGCGAAACCTTTGATTGGAGGAAGCCAATCTCCAAAAATCGAACCTGGTGACTTTTTCGGTGGAGGCCTTGAGGTTCAGTCATGAGTGGGAGTTGTTTTTGCTTTTGGCTGTGTTACGCCCCTTGCCAGATCAACAGCAAGGGCCGGCCACAAGCCAGAAATGCTGGCTCCCCACTATCGTGCCCGGAAGAGCTGAGAGCTGGGTGGTAGCCATATGAATGTTGCCAACTCGTTCTGAAGCGGAAACAAGGTCGAGCGTGTCTCGGCGCCGTCCTATGCCAGCAACATGCCTGCAAGCCAGACTCCTTTCTAGGCTTCAATCAGATTTTCTTGTCCGTCCTTTCGCCCAGCAGCACCGTAAGTGCCATGGATGGGCTGCGCTAAATCATTGCAAGACGCAGGTCGGGAGCCTTCCGCACCAGCAGAGGCCTTGTGAGTGCTACGTGTTTTGGCTTACTGCAACAGCTCATTGACACTCGCTTGGCGAGGCGGACGTTCAGATGGAAGATGCGTGAATGCTGCTGAACAGTGTAGCGACAACCCGCCAGCCACAAAAAGCGGAAAGTCAGATAAAGCTGCTTGACAGGTTAGAGTTGCAGTCGGATCCTCAAATGCCGTGCTGGCAGGCGGTAGGGGGCAAGTTGTCTAAGACAGGCATGCTCTCAATGAGGGACTGCCGAAAACCAGTTTTCGCTCTCGGCTTGGTGATGAGCCCAGGCCCAATGCGAGTTCCAGCCTGCCGGCTCTGCGAGCCAGTCGTAGGTAGCAGGACTTGGCCGTGGCTCAGTTTTGCAAGCGCAAGACGAGGCATCAGCTCATGGCTGTTCGATCGGCAAACGGCTGAAATGCTTGAGCGGTTTTACTTCGTGCATCTATTCCACACCATCAAAGGGCGACTTTCCTGACCCAAGAATAGTGCCTTGGAGGAAGTAACTGGATCCTCAAGGCTATTAGGTCACCAGGCCCTAGGCAACAGTTTCACTTCAGATGCTCCCGATTTCGGGATGATGACGACCCGCATCGAAGTTCCAGCAACTCTGCCGCCGTTGTTAGTTCTTGCCTGACTGTTGGGAGGGGTTCCACCATGGCACCGGAGCTTGTGGCAGAAGCTAAAAGCTCCGTCTCCAGGATCGAGAACTTTGAGGCACTCTCTACGAGACGAAGTTGCGCTTGTTTCGTGCCCTGAAGCGCTTCCATCCTATGCAGGCCTTCTTGTCGAAGGAGCTGGCACAACTGCACTCGCGCCTGCTGAGTGCCCATGCAGCTTGGTGCATGTTGTTGACTGGACCCCTTTGGCTGGCAGCCCGTCTACTGACGTCGGCATGAAGGCACTATACAGGTTCGGTTTCTGAAAGACCGACTTGCGTCCATCCCGCCGATTCAGTAGCTTTCTGGCCGGAACCTTATTACCGACATGAGACAGCCCCCCACGTTGAACTTTCCGCGACTAGCATTTACAGGGAATGACAAGGTGGATTCACGGATGGCAACAGCTGACAGGTGGACGGTTCTGATATCAACTGAGGAGTCGCTGGCGCCTGTCTCGCCCTCCACACGGAAACAAAGCGAGGAAAGCGAGATTGAACAGACTCTTGGCACGAAGTCAGACGTTCGAAAGGCGGTATTGTCACAGTGGCTTAAACTGCATGTACTGAAGCATTCGAGTCGCTTGGGACAGCAGAGCCACCCCCGCTGCCTGCGAACCCCGTTACCGTGGCATGTTTCGAGCGGTGGAGAAAAGCCTGTGCAAGGACGTTCTGCCAGCTGCGGGCCTTGGCGACACCGACCACGGCTGGCGGAGAGGAGTTTTGGCGGGCGGGGGTCCGGAGCATAAAGACCACGTTGCGAGCCAAAGTCACAGCCACTCTCGCGTCCTGGGTTGTGCCACTGCAGGATGCCCATCTTGAGCCTGCCATGCCCCCGCCACTGTTGGAGGACATTTCTGAGCCCGGCCTGCAGTTTGGAAGGTCTGAGCACAAAGAGATGCAATAAAAATACTCATTCGTGGCCTGCCTCTGCTGCTTCCCAGGACCGGACAGAGAAAGATACCTTCCCCGACTGGGCGGTGTCCCGCTGGCAGGACATTGTCGAGAAGCTCCGAGCCAGCCCTTCGTCGTTCCCGGATTTGTCGGGGTCTTCGCATGTGGTGCTGGTGCGTATTGGGCCAGCGCTGGTTCTTCTGTAAGGATGGGAAGCAGAAGAGCCTCAAAGTCCGCACAGCTGCACGGGGAGACAGTCGCGAATGAGGCGCCGGCCTTCCTGCAGCAGCCACTTGCAGTGAAGCAGCGCCACAAGCACTTGGTTTGAGGGGATGCCTTGCCAGACGCCTCTTGTGATGCTACTACACTGTGTAAGATTCAGTCAACGACCGTGTTGTAGTCGCACGTGCAGAGCGAGAAACTGGAAGAACCACACAGCCTCCACACAGCATTAGCATGCAAGTTCCGGACAACTAGACGAGCTCTTGGATGTCAGGGTGACTTGGCGACTCCAGGGTGAGTCGACACTGTGGGACGTGACTTGGACAGCCTGAAATGGCTAATGCTTCATGCGACAGTATGCCAGTAGCTATGAACACAGCAACAGTGAAGCCCGCAGATGGCACGTAGAAGTTTTCGTTCTCCGGCACAAAGACAGCCCCTCCACTGCAGCTGACCCTTAATCTATGTTTATAGGGTATAGGTCCAGGTTATATGAGCGCCATGCGTGCAAGAGGCTCTGGGCACGTTGTTCTCAGACCTGAGGCCTACTCGAAACAAGGTGGGAATGCTTCGGAAACGACTGTATTGGTGTTGCCCTGCCTGCAAGAGAAGACTCTTTATGATGTTGTGTCTTGTCACTGTGTAGGCTCCATCGACTTCAATGGTATCCTCGGGAAGGAGAAGGGCGACTCCAATCCCGACTTGCACGAGGTGTGTCACGCACATGTTTGGCAAGCTGTTACCGTAGACTATCCCGAAATCTTTTTTCGGAAATCGGCAATGCCGTCAAGATCATCGAGCATTGGTCGCCGACGAGAGCAGAACAGAGACTGCAGGTGGTTGTCAAAACGAGCACCGGCTGCAGCGCTTGCCTCGGATGTTTGGTCCTCCACCCGTATGGATGGCCGAAGCTCCTCGGCTGCAGATCTGAGAGATTGCAGGGAGTCCAGAACTGGAAGTCCCACGAAGGTTTTCGTGGAGCATCATCCTGCTGCTGGCAGTGCTTTGGGACGCTGTGACGATCCCGCTGCAGCTGTTTGACCTTGGTGCCTTCTCAGCTACGCTCGACACCGTCAACACGGCGACCATCTTTTTCTGGTTGATCCTCTTTGACTGGCATTGTAGCTTTGGTTTCCGGTACCCCTGAAAGACTCCGCGATGCGACATTCCAACGTAGAGCCGTAGAGCATGCAAGCATTTAAGGCTAGCGGATATTCCGGTCAGCTGCTTCACCGCTGTCGACAGCGACGGCCTCCTGGACTTCCGGCCGCGCTCGTGCATCCGGGACTACACCAGGCCCCCAAGGCTTGAGGACTACAAAAGGCATCAAATCAACACAGTAGAGTAGCAGAAGCCGCAGTAGTGAAAGTGCTAGTCCCGCTACATACATCCACATCAAAAGAAGTGGAGGGAGAGGTTAGACAGATGCAGTGTCCAATCGCATCGTCAAGCACACGCTGGCTGGACTGCTGCAGTCCTAAATCAGGGCGACAGGGAGTTTGCGAGGTATAAGCCTTGCCAGCATCATGTATCAATTTGGTCATCATGTCCAACACCCCCAGAAGGCAAGATCTCTCTACCTTGTCTCAAGCATGCCAGGGGCTGGTGTTTGCCCGACGTGCTCATGGTTTTGGGAGTCTTGCCTTGAGACTTGCGCAGTGGTTCAAGGAACTTGCAAGCTTGCGCTCGGTCATGTGCATAGCGAGGAGATGTGATTGTGTCCATCGTGTCTTGGCTGAAATCAGAGCATCCGAGCTTGTCCAGCATGTCTTGCAAGAACAGGTTGGCGCTAACAGTGTTGCGGCTGCAGCTGGGACCCAGCTGCTTGGCTTATTCAGGTCGTGTGCGTCCCAACAGTCGCAGTTGGAAAGAATGAGTTGTGCTCACCATATCCGAAGACCTATCCTCCTTTGCCCCTGGCCATGAGCCTTCCCAGACTTGCCCCTGGCCCTACAAGCAGCTTTCATGCTGACCTTTTCGGTGTGTTGAAATGCGAGACCAGCAGCCACCTGCATGGCTGCAGTTCCGTTTTGCTAAGACCATGTAAGACAAAGCTTAGCTCAAAACTCGCGAACCAGGGGTCTTCGCGTCTCGCGGCTCATTCGTCTCTCTCGATTGGTGCGGCTGGTGCGGCTCTACAAAGCTTCAGCAGCTCGGCAGCAGGGGAGCCGTTAAGCCAATTAAAAGAATCAATGCGCCGGGGGGTCGCAGCTGCTAATTGAAACTCTCGCACGGACGGGCATTCACCTCTCCATATGCTCCGGTTCATCCCTATCCCCAGCTTCAGGCGACAGTCGAGTCGTTGGTCGACTACGTTCGTTCTCCGCTGATCGTGGTGTTGAGCCCCGGCTGCAGAATGATCAGAGTCATGCAAACACCATGTCAAATTACCCGTAGGAGAGAAATCGCAAAAACGCTCAGGATTGGCCTAGCCAAGCTGATCTTGTTCATTCTCTTTGCAACATGGCCGCGCTTCGCGGTAGCTGCCGGCGGTTTCGTGAGATCCAGCACATTCACGGGTATTGTAGTCCTACGGAAAGGGCCACACGAGTTTGGTCCGCTAAGATTGTGCTGCTGCTTGGTATTTCCTGCTTGGTCTTCCCTGGTGCCTCAAAGTTATAGACCATGCACCTGCATGTACCAGGTGAATCACTACATCGCCTGCGCATCTGGGCTAAGTGGCCATAGCACGGCATGTTCCACCTCGTGTCGCCAAAGTTTGCATGGCTGGAACTCGTGCAGCTCAGAGACTTCTTTGCATGCCTTGCTCGAGTGGTTCCGTCCCCCATTGCCAAACTCAGTAAAGCTAATCCACTTCATTCGTCTGCCGCGGTTTTGCCTGTTGCAGCAATTCAGACAGCCTGTGAGCCGCCGCTGCTGGTACGGGACTGTCTTCAAGCGTGGCACGCTGCCCGAACGTGTCCGCACAAGCTTGTTAGCTGAATCTTAAGCCCAGGCTTGGTGTGCGATGGCTTATTTTAGCCACATCTCTGAAGTAGCAATCCTTTTTTGCAATATTGCTGTTGAGTGTTCAAGCGTTTTGGATATTGCCGTGGTCTGGCCGTAGTTAGCATGCAAGCTGCAAGCTTGACTTGCAGCAGCCTCGGCTAGCTGTTTCGGGAAAGATGAGGTCAATTGCTTTAGTTTCGCGAGCTTTTGCGCATTGGCTCGAAGAAGATTGGGGCTGCTGGAAAAGACTGGCCCCAGGTGACGGTAGCCCTACATGGGCAGACGGACACGTGAAAGCTCCAGATGACTTCCGTGAGCTCTACGCATCTCGACTCCAGCTGCTGCATGCGTTGATGCGAACCAAGCCAACGTCACATGGGCAAGAGTTCCAGTCCAGTTTCGTGACTTGTTCACCATGCAAAGAGTGTATTCATCTGGTTTTTCGCAGGCCTTGTCTTTACACTGGAGCTTGACACAATTCACGCCATCCACGCAGGAGTTCCGAAACTGTGATGCAGGGTTGAGTGCACTGGTGACAGGGCAGATGGCAGACCAGCTGCTTCTACCTATATTTGCATCAGAGTCCAATAACCTGCTTCCATGTAGGTTTACGCCTCTTGTGGATGCGCTTGGGGAGGACATTGGGCCGTCCAACATCGGGGAGCGCATCTTCGCAGCCGGCGTGGTGATTTTTGCCTTGATCGCATCTCGGCATCGAGCGACAAACTGCGTGAAATGGTTGTGCAGATCGCATTTCCCTCCAGCCCTCCTGTTTGCTGTGAATCTCAAGGGGTCTTTAGTGCTTGAGACCGACCCACGGCATCGTAGAGCAGGTGATGTAGTCCCGCAGTTCTTTCCCCCCCACACACGCCGCAGCTGCGGCACAATACCAAGGGGCACCCAACCTGTGATCTGATAAGATCACCCCGCCCGGTAGGCTGCCAGCACAAAGTTTGCCGAAGTGCGCTGCAATCAAGGTGTTTTCCTCCTTCGTCAGCAGCATCACCAATCAAATGAACCAGATCCGCACCTGGAACTCCAAGACTATCGAGCTGGATGCAGTGCTGCGGCATTTCCTGAAGTCGCGGAAGATCTCTACCCAGCTGGGAGTTCGCATTACTAACTTCTTCAAGACACCTGGCAAGCAATTTTTCTTGTTCCAGTGCCCGGCTGTGATTGAAAAAGTTGCAGATCTTCAGTATGTCTTTTCACGGTGATGCTTGTTTCTGACCTGACCCGAAGCACACCCAGGGTCAGTCAGAAGCAGAAGGCAAAGACCCCACTCGAGAGCATAGCCTTTCTGGCAAGCCTACCAGTACCTCGGCCTGACTGATGCTTTATGGTCCTAGATCCTGGCAAGGACACCCCTGCATGTAGCTCATTGGATTTGCACTCGAGCGAAGGAAAGCTTGAAGATTCATTTGCACAGCGAGATATTCTTACCCGCCTTCAAGACTTCTGGCCTGTTCAGTTACTCGGCACAGAATTTGGAAAGCAAGCGCTGCAGCTTTGCAATGCTCGTTAACCACCGCCTGCCCTGTTGATCTTCAAGGTTAATCCGCTCATGCGGAGGCGCTACTTGTGCAGACGTGCAGAAACACAGACATGCAGAAACACAGACATCACACGCACGCACACATGCATGCAGAAATAGCAACGCACACTCAAAGACCGAGAGAAAGTGATACTAGTTATATCACGCCGGACGTGCTTGCTGACACAAGCTCCACACTCTTTTCCATCGTAGCATGGCAGTTACAGTCTAAGTCATACCGTTTCCCTACGTTTGCGCGTAGGTTTTGCACTCGCCTCATCCTTCTGTCTGTCTGTCTGTCCGTCTGTCAATCTGTTTGTCTTTCAGTCTGGTCTGTCAGTCTCATGTTTTTTTCTGTCTCTGTGTGTGTGTTTGCTCTGTTTCGTTGGCATTATGTAGTCTATGCTCTGCGAGCTAAGCCTTCACATGATTTCGCGTGCCGACTGCCCAGTCTGCGAGTTGGACTATTGCGAACATGAGGTCGTGTTATGAAAGTGGACTATCGCTTGCTGTCGAAGACCTGCAGCCGCGCATTCAAGGCCCCGACTTGCATCCTCCAGCCCACTTGTTGGCACATTGCTGCAACCATGCAAGCCAACTCTTCTTTACACGAGGAGCATTACTGCCCACCGGAGATCGATATCTTTATCGAAGGGGCCGCAGCACCAGGCAGAGCGGCAGCCACCTGCAAACACAGTGAAGACAAAAGATACGCAACAAAGTTTCCCGCGAGTGTACTGCACTGCAGCATCGGGGAGCTGCCATTTCCTCAGGCGTCCTCATTGTACACCGGGGTGAAATGATCTATCAGTTCCTTGGCTTTTGGTTCTTTGCACGAAGTTTCACAGAGACCGCGCAGATCCAAGAGCACCTCCATCGATTGAAATATTCAGTATTGCTGTGTTTGATCGAAGCGGTGGTGCTGAACGGCGCACCAACTGTCCTGGGGTACTTTGAATGGGCGCGACCTCGCTTGCAGCGATAGCACCAGAAATGAAAGTCAGGCCTCGGGCGCTGTCGCGCTTCACCCACCTCAGCGCTGCGGGAGTCTCGGAATTTCGTCAATCGTTGGCGTGCTTTCGGGTGGCACAAGCACGCTACCCAGGTCAAGCCCGTGCGACTGCAGAAGGGGCTTTGGATCTCGGAAGCATCGCTGTGGTGCGTGTGGTCCTATGCTGGCAGCCTGCGGGCGGAGACGGAGCCTGGTCTTCATTCTGCATGCACACTGCCCCGACCGGAAAAGAGTCTGGCTGGTCAGAAAAGGTACGCTGCGCCGGACCTGTGTCTGTAGCTGTCACTGATTTGGAGAGCCAGCTTGAAGCTCTACTGTCCTGCCGGCAATCAAATGCAAAAATTCCATTCGGCGAAGTGATGCTAGTAAGCGAACCGACTAAGTGTCACCAGTGTACGAGCCCGTGGAGCCGTGGAGTGAGTAGTGCTAATTGATTCATGAGTAAAGTGACGGAGTGAGCAACTGAATGAGCCAGTTTCACGAGTGAACGAGTGCGTGCATGCGTGCGTGGGAGGTTTTTTGCGTGGATGAGAATGGGAGAAGTTTGAAAGCAAGACAGCAAGTCAGCTAGAATGAATAAGATTAGCGAGCGCTGCAACGGCATCTATCTTGCGCGCATCGGCAATAACGGAAGAGCCCCTCAGCAGAGGCCTGTGACTTTCACCTTCTGGACTCTGACGCCTTCAGCAGAGTTTGCCAGACTCTGGGCAAGAAGTGTTTCCTGCTCGTAGCTTGTCTTGTCTTGCACTTTCGTTGGACCCCCTGATGGCTCTGAACCTCAGGAGCCACGGAGGCGCACTGGTTGCGATCTTGCGGAAGTTGGCTGCCGCTGCCTAAGCATGTGGAGATCACTGACCAAGACATACTTCCATTAAGAAACTTTCGAACGGCTGCGCTCCTGTTGAGTCTGGTCGCCGCTCGCATTTCTGCGCAGATTGAAACGATCGGTTGCACAAACAGGTTGGCCCGGCTGATTTGCATGGAAAATTCTAGAGTCAGCCGGCCAAGACTTGGACGGAGAAGTGTCTTGATTCCTACATCTGCTTGAAGATAAACTCTTGACGTGCTCATTTGCTATCCTCCAGTGGTGGCAGCTCTGCAGTAGCCCGGCTCGCGGCTGCTAGGTTCTCTTCATCAACTACATGGAGGACGTGGGTAGTTCACTGCTGCAGCTGGCGATCCGTGCGCGTGTGCAGCACACAATCCTCGGTGCATGCCGCAATTCAGATGTTCCTGTCCCGTTTCTCGCCTTCTCTGTCCTACTTCTACTGACCTTCTTGGAATGTCTGGCAGGAACGAGCACAGGAGTCAAAGCCGATCACCGACATGTCACCTGCCTGTATCTTTGTCCATGCATGTGTACATATGAATTTTCCTGGAGTTACTGAGCGGTCTCGAGCCAAGCTGAGATACGACTGAGGCCGCTGTCTGATGAAGAGTGGGAGTCGTTGCTCGACCGCTCCGACAAGTTGCTCGCTGCAGAAAGGTGACTGAAGCAAGTCTGTTACTTGCGTTAGGTTTCGCCATCCCGATACTACCCCGAGTAGTCTTCAGCTGTCACCATTGGGCCGCACATTCGCATCGTTTCCGCTTTGCATGTCGTCGTGGCGACTCGGAGAGCCCGTGATTTGAATGCTGTTTGCATCGCTCTCCTTTAACGCGATGGTGGCCGATAGCGGGCCTTGGAGGACGTCTCATTTCGTTTCTGTCAGGACGCGGAAAGAGCTTACATAGTGGTACAAGTAGCAAGAAGCTCCTGCGCGAGATCGTGCAGGGCCACACGGCCACACTAGGCTTCCGGCTGTGTCAGAACTTGGGGGTCGGGACCCGAGGGCAACAGCAACCATGTGGCACACTATGGGCCATTTGTTTGAAACGTCGCCGTAGGATGACTTTAACACACCACCGGGCGCTTTCAGGCTCGAGAAGATGAAGACGATGATGAGCTGGGCTTAGCTCACTGATCGTGCAGTAGCTTGAGTTTGACGTTGAGTTTGCTGTTTATGTTGCTTTGGCCACCTAGGATGCAACTGGCTCTGCCTCGGCCAGACTGGAAGTAGCAGCATGAGATGCAGCTCGCACTCCCACCCCGGCTCGCTCCGATGTGCTTTGTGCCTGCATGCATAACACCAGAGTGTTGCAAAACTGTTTGCTTCGAATTACTTTCTGTGGAGATGAATTCAACAAGAGCATCGCCCACAAGCTTGAGCTTGCTACCACCGGAAGGTAGACATTTTTTCCGAGAATTGGGTTCAGCTAGGCCCTAGGCAGCAAGTTGCAGCAACGGTTCCGTGACATGGCAAGTCTCATGATCGGGCCCCACGGCACCGCACGTGTCTTTGTACAGACAGGTTTCTTACTCGGTCCTGCAGCAAGATCCGGTTTAAATCGTGGTCGAGATCTTTGTGTGCATGGCCGGCAGACCTGAGCTCGGCACGCACAAGTCTGGCGTTGCGACACTGTCTAGCAGGTGCGATTGCAAAAAAGCGATGTGGAAGCATGTGACAGCACATGCTTGTGGCCAAAAGCGCGTGCAACAAGGAGGCACTCCTTTCTTCTCAAGAGTCCCTCCTGACGGCTGTTGCGGTGCCAGCCGGCTGGTGACCGGTGCATCGCGGTGCCGGAAGAGTTGGAGGTCATGGAGATATACTCAAGACTTGGTTCCGTGCACCAGCTAGCCCCGCAGCAGAGTATTCCTGAATTCGGGGCAGGCCATGCCTTCAGCATGCTGGACCTCTTTCTGCACATGCCTTGCATCCTTTGGTGTCAAGAACTCAAACCCAGACGACGAGGAGAGGGCCTTCCGTATAGACTGCCCGATTCAAAAAGCTACCACTTCGTGGAAAAGATTGTTCAAGGCATGTGCCATCAATTTGGTCGGTTAGAGTCTGCCCCTCTGCCAGTAATGACTGCACTTGCACACCCTGGAAGCAGGTGGCATTTGCGCAAGAGGCTGTGTGTTGCGGCAAGATGCCGATGAAAAGCGCAAGTCTTATTTCTTGTCGTCTTGCGGGCAGGGTACCTGTATCTCTTCAGTTTTATCCAGCGCTGCCGTGTCGGCATCTCTTCAGCGACACCTCCTAATTCTTTCACAATTGAAGACGACGAAGATAATTCCTGTGACTCAGACGGAAAAACGGTCTGCGGCCGCATTTCTCTGTAGGTAGAGATGGTGACCTGACCATCGCTCCAGGTTTCATTGCAAGGCGCATGTGCGAAGCTCAGGCAACAATAATCTGTACCGTGTTTGCTTTACGTTTGCAGCACGTTTAGTCCAACGACTCCACGATGCAGAGAGAGTCTACCCATACAACAACTCCCGCAGAGATGGGGTGCACATGATTCTGTTTTCCTTCGCCACGGCACAGAACTTTGAACATACTCCACAATACTCCAATGTGTGCCAAACCAGCTTTGGGCAGGGCATAAGGCTAGCAATGCTTCAGGATGTTCCGGGATATCACCTTAGGCAAGCACCAAGCAACTAAGCAAGTTTTCAGCTCGTCCATGACTCGCACGCCGAGTCGAGTTGATCATGGCGCTGGGGATGTCCAGGGCCGCATAGACACGCTAAAGCGGCTGACAGTGCTGCTTGTTGGCAGTTATTGGTTTGATGGCGGAGACTAGCAACTGTCTCGCAGCATTGCTCTTGCCGCCTGCTGCCGCACACATGACATGACGGCAAGGATCCTGTCGTAGAACTTCCCTCACAGTAAGTGCTCACACTCTTTGTGCCCCTTTCCATGAAGCTGCTGCAGGTCGTCCGAAGCCGAGCGTCTTCGGCTGGGGTTCCGCCAAAAGCCAGGTCCGGCGAGGCCGTAAGAAGCCAGAAGTTTGTGTAAGGCCGACAAATTCAACACCGTAGCCACCCAATGATAATTCTTAAGTGGAGAGCGCATTTCCGCCCCGTGGTTGTGAGGCAAGCCACCTCGGCAGGGCCGATTCCTTCTCGGCCCTTGGACTTGGAATCACTGGAGCTGGAAACCGATCACCGAGCAGAGCGAGCAGAACCTTCGCCTGTGCCACGTCAGAAACATAGGCGTGTTGAAGTAGCCTCCTTCGCACGCTTTTTTTCGATGACGCGAGTCGATGTGTGTGTGTGTGTGTGTGTGTGTGTGTGTGTGTGTGTGTGTGTGTGTGTGTGTGTGTGTGTGTGTGTGTGTGTGTGTGTGTGTGTGTGTGTGTGTGTGTGTGTGTGTGTGTGTGTGTGTGTGTGTGTGTGTGTGTGTGTGTGTGTGTGTGTGTGTGTGTGTCAGTCTTGTCTGGAGCGGGGTGAACAGAAGAATTACTTCAAGACTCCATGAAGCACTCGACGTCTCCTTTCTAGTCATTCCAGCCGGACAGGCAGCGACATTTACGCTTCTCCTTTTGCCTCCTATTTGTCCCGTAATTGAATGCACTTCCAGGCAGCTCACAAACTGGCGACGGCTGCCTCGGCCAAGCTTCGTGCCGCCCTTCTATTCGAAGAGTCCGAGGCTAGAGAGCGTGGTTTTTGTGCGCATGCGCATTCACCACACAAACTCAGGTGCTCCTGGGGACGCACTCACCACAGTAGTGCTGCTCTTGCAAGGGGTGGATTTATCATACATCGGGCGGCTTTTTTATGCATCGCACAGTGTCTACTTGTGGAAACCAGGATTCATGCCAGTCTGTATGTATTATAGCATCTGGTACACTAGTTGTTCGACCAGCGTCTAGTTGGCGGATACTTTGCCGTGAAGGCGGCCAAGAGCTTGTGTTCCAACTTCCTTGGACGGGCGCTTGCGAGATCGACCGTCTACATGGGGAATGCCCAATTTTGATTTGCTGCCACTGATGTGTTTCTTGAGCGGGTGCTTGCGACATCGAGCGTCCACATGGGGAATGGCTGGTTTTGCCATGCTAGTGGTGCGGAATAGCTGGAAGAGGATTTGCTGGTTTCATGAGAAAGTTTCTTGTATCAGCTGTTGCTATCGAGCAGGAGACTCGGTCACAGTGTTTGGTCGGGAATCAACAACTCTCCCCTCGGCGCCCCGAGAAACCCCGAGTCCGCGATATCTCCTGACAAGTGAGCTTATGCAGCTCGGAGATTGCAAACAGCGTCCACGAAGGGGCTTGAAAACAGCGTCTACTTGGGAATTGCTGTTTGTAACGGCAGCGCTTATACACGAAAACGAGTCATAATTGCGCTCAAGACCTGACGTCGGCCACCTAAACGAGGATTCTGTACGTTCTTCACTGATGTTGCAAACACGGCGTCTACATCGGGATTCGTATTCACAGTTGCATGACTTCGCTGTTGATGTATATTTGCTCTGACGCAGCGTTTACATGGAGTGATGCATTTTCCCACCGGGTGATGTAAGATAAATCCACCGCGCCAATCGTCTCTGGACGAAGATCACGGCAAAGAGCATGAGAAAGCATGTTCATGCCGTTGTGCGAAGTTTCGGTTCATGCGGCCGCTGCCTCTTGCGGCAGCTTCGGGGGCCTCGGGAGGGCTCCTTGGGCTGTGTGTGCAGTTGCTGCGGGATTTGAGTTCGGATTCGAGGGTTCTTGCGCCTCCCGAGACCGGGGCTCTTCCTTCGCTGCCGGGCCTCCTGGATTTGGAATCTTCCTCAGCCAATTGGGTCTTGGGCTTCCATCTTCCTTCGGTCCTTGTGGGGTTGCTTTTAGGGCTTTGTCTGGGGCCTCTCTTGGAATTTCTTTTGATCCTGCGGTATCTCTGCTTCCGGGCCTTGAATCGGGCCGTCTATCCGCTGCATCGGCTGTATCGCGTTCTTGAATGAGCCAGAGGCTTGAGGTTGCTGCCCTTCGCAGTGAGCTTCAGGCTTTGAGGGCTTTGCTGGACAATCTGGATCAGAGGTTGATCGCGCTTGAGGAAAGTTCCGCTTTCGAGGTTGTTGAGCCTCCTTCACCCGGCCCTAGCCGTGCTCATAATCCGAGAGGGTCTGCAGGAGGAGCGGGCACGTCTTCCAATCCTGCCAGGTCGGAGGCGAGTTCTCCTGGTGTGGCCACATTCAGAGACGGGTCCTCCGAGCTTCATCCGGGACCGCCCACTTCAGAGTTCAGGGTTAGCGTTGCAGAGGGAATCGGAAGGTTTCTGGTCCGAGCTTTGAACGAGGAGGTTCGAGGCAGTTCGGGGAGGAATCGGCTTAGCCTTGCATCGCGCTTGTACATTATTTGCCGGGACGCCCAGGGAGCAACTTACTCCCCTCCTGTTGTTACATCCAGCTTCTCGAGGGTCAAGGAGTTGTGCTTTATCGGAGGCCGGAGTCAGGACGCCGGTCGGTCGGTGTTCGTGGGCTTGCCTTCCCAGGCTGAAGTCCGAATCGCATTAGCCACTGCAGGGCTCCCTTGCCCAGACCTTTCGGGCAATGGCCGAGGGTACTGACGGATCAGGGCTCTCAGAAGGGGGCAGTCGGGCCCCGCCGGGATTGGGGGATAATCTTCTTAGTGAGGTTGGACCTGAGTTCCGGATAGGGGCCTTGCAAACCGAGAAAGCTGGGGCCCGGGTGTCATGTCAGATTATAGGGGTTACGATGATAGACGGGGGCTTCCTCGTCGCTGTGCCTCACGCCGCCTGGCACCGCACAGGGGCGCGGAGGTACTTGCCCACCGAAGCTTTGCGCCGGCCCATCCTCACCGAGGTCTTAGCCGCGAACGATTCCGACAGGCGAGAGCCGCACCCAGCTTGGCACGTCAAAGTTTGGATTGGCATGCTAAGTTCCGATTATGTCGGGTCAGTGTCCTTTGGCAGAAGGGAGGAGGCGGCCGCCTTTGGCATGGCCGAGGAGGCAGCCGAAGTTGTTTTTGTCATTGCGGGCTCAGGAGGCGGTCCGGGAGAGCCGACGGCTGCATTCCCGTTTGGTCCGTCTCTCACGGCGGTGGCCAACGATCACTTCAGCTTTGTGTCCGCCGAGGAGTTGCAGGATCCCGAAGATCCAGGCGAGCGGCGTATCACTGCTGTGGAAGAGGCGATCGTGAAGCTTCAGTCCGGGTTGGACACCTTGTTGAGCCGCATGCCGGGCGAGCCCCGCCGCGAGGAGGAGGTCGATCTATCAGGTTCGCGCCCAGCTGC